ATTACGATGTACCAAGTTTGGACCATATCGGATACCCCCTTCGAGAGTCATCGTGCGCTCCAGCCAGACAGACGGGGGCACCGACTTTCGCTAGATGGACTCCAAATGTCCTGAAACGGATTTGGTACAAAGAGGTACCGTTATTTCTATGAGGCGCGTTTGGCCGTATAAAATATATAACGCTGAGGGTATAAAAACAAAGTTACTTCTGATATGCACAATAAATGGGCCCATTAACATTGCCATATTTGCTAATTATTTCTCGACAATTATTCACGATTGGAGGATGATCTCTCGAGAAAAATGCTTTTCGTGAGAATATCGTTCTGCGCAGAATAATTGGTTGTATAGTATTTTCACCTACGTTGGATTATAGTGAAGATGGCCTATGTCGAATAACGCCATGTGGTACCTCCCTCACAATAGGTTAGCATTTGAAAAAGTATTTGAATGTTTTTAAAAATATAAGATTTTTATCCATTGGATGTCAACATCTTCTGCTATCATAAAAAATCATAACCTTGAAGGAGTTTCTAATGCAATTCATACATGTATTATTGTCACACTTCGCTGGAGACTAAAATGCACAATATTTATTCCATACTTCCGCATCTACTCCAAAAAAGTTAAATATTTTGAAAAATAATTTAAAATAGTGTCCATTTTTCTCCAAACTTTTATTTTATTTAATTTTATATCGTTTTCCTAAAGAGCTCTTTAAACACCACATTCTTTCTATTAAATTCCGGACATCTCTGCTAAAGCATTTCTTTACAAAAAGGATAATTGTCAAGCATGCACAATAATTGTGTTGCCGCTAATTGTCACATTCAGTTTCTAAGTTATTTCCGGTTGGTTACACTTGGTCTATGCATTAAAAATGAACACAACAACAAATACGAGTGTAGAATTAGGGATGGCAATATGGAAAACATTCATTATAAATTAAAAAAAAAATAATAATAATAAAAATTCTAAATCCTTAAGGCATATTATTTGAGTTTCGCTATTCTCAGAAGGCTATGAAAATTCCCTTTAAATTGTATTGACAAGAAATTATTGGCCATCCCTAAAAGCAGTGCTGTGAAATTTTCTATCTCTCTCTCCCTCTCTCTCTCTCTATTCAGTAGTTGAATGGATAGACAATTCGCAGCAGGCAATTTAACACCCCAACACCCCCTCAATTGCAATGCCTGCCTAATCACGTCAAGTACTTTCCGTCTTTTTGTCCTGCGGTTTATTAAGAGCATATCATCGTGAATTTATGAATGTCTTCAACGGGTCTTTGAGCGCGGCAGGGTTAGGCTCCTCCATTGGTGTCTGTCTGTCTGTCTAGCTGCCTGGCTGGCTGGATGAATGACTGACTGCCTACCCGCCTGTCTGTGTGGGTGGGTGCCTGAATGTATGGACAAAATAAAAATCTCATTCAAAGAATTCAAGTGTTATTTCTTCCCCCCATGTCTGAAGTGGATGCAAATTGTGTTATTTAAGTACAATAACAAGAGCAGTAACAACAACAACACTTTGAACTATGGCAAAAAGAAATGAGATCGCAAAAAAAGAAAAGAAAATCTGTTTATACTTGAAATCAGATTTAAGGCAATGATGGAAATTATTTATAATTTCAATTTAATATGCCAATTAAAGGGAGAAGGAGGATAAGGATAAAGGATTTTAGTATAGAATATTTAAGATGACTTCTATTTAGACAATTCTTGTAGAGAATCTGGAATTAGAATTGAAATTTTCTACAGGCCAGACAGTGAAATTTTAGAAAAATTTGCATGAAATTCAATAAATTTGTAGAAAATAAAAACCAAAAATTCAACGAGTTTCTCCAAGGTCCATATTAAGTATACAAGTTTCTTTTGTTCGGAGACTCACTATGAAATTTGATCCAGAATAATTCTTACTTTGACACTTTCCCCTAAAATTGAAGTTTTAAGGGAGATTTTGACTTAGAATGGAAAGGGGTTAAAATAGCAGTAAAAAATGTAAATACATAATTTACACTTGTAATACACACATTTCAAATGTAATTTTCTTGGAAACCATTAAACCTAGAGATATGATTTGTATTGGAATTTGTAGTGAAATTTTATGGAGAATATTTCTTCTTTTGACACTTTCTGTCTAAAACGAAGGTTTATACTGTATCAACTCGAAAAAGACCGAGGAAAATTTTATCAAAAAAATTAGGAAATTTTTTCGTGTTATATTCGCAACCTTTGTGTAGAGATTTTCTTGATTTATATTGAAAATCGAGATTTCTTTTATTTGGTGACTTATAGTGAAATTTGATGAATAATAATTTTGTCTCTGACGTCTTCTTTCTAAAATAAGTTTTTATGGGATAATTTAGCATAAACTCACATAAAGTAAGGTTTTTATCCTAAAATGCGTTTTAATATATATGAACTCCTGGCATTTAGGAAAGATTTAGACTTTTAACGCCTTCTAGCACCAATAATAAAATGTTATTACAAATAATTTTGTAGAATATTTTGACTTGCTACGTTCTCGTTTAAAGTGAGATTTTAACCATATTTTCAAAAAGGGACCAGAAAGACCACTTTGTTAACTCGCTTGGGGATTATCTTGTTCGGCACTAATAATCCTCGTATTGCTATGTGTAATATTGCCGAAGAAACTATATAGCTAAAATGTAAGGATTCCAAAAATGTTAATCCGAAATTAAAAAAAAGAAAAGAAAGTCCTAAAGTCGGGCCGACTTTATGATACCCTACACCACTTTGCTAATTTAGTATAGCTCCACATAACAATTAAAAGTTTTTATGGGAGAATTCAATCATACACGCTATGATTATAATTATAATTTAAAGTTCAAAGGACTAAATATGCCGAAGCATTTGTATCTTTTAAATTCGGATTTTTATTGCCCATTTGGTGCACAATTAATTTGAAATCGGATAAAGATATATATGGGAGCTATATCCAAAGCGGAACCGATCTCTATAAAATTTGACAAGCTGAGCTGTATTTGATATATTTCCCTGAATATCTTTGTTAAGGAGTGCATATTACGGCTGTGGGTAACAAATATAACAAATCGGATGAACAGTATATATGGGAGCTATAGCTATATCTCACCAAATTTGACATACTTGCTTCTAGACTCAATTCGGTCGTAAGTGCCAAATTTCATCCCATTTGGACAAATATTAGACGTTTGGTGCACAATAAAAGGTAAATCGGACAAAGTTATATATGGGGGCCTTGTGCCAAACAAATGACTTGTGCAAAATTTCATCTTAATTGGATAATAAATGCGAGCTGCATTTTGTTCAAAAGAATTTATGTACAGACGGACGGACTGACATGCATAAATCAACTCAGAAAGTGATTCTATGGAGATCCTCAAAAGTAACTATGGGTCTATCTCGTTCCCTTTTGCCTGTTACAAACAAATGCACAAAGACATAATACCCTTACCCTTACTATGTGGTGTAGGGTATAAAAAAAATATATATGGAAATGGGGTAAAATTTAACCCCTTTATTCTTAACCCCGATACACGTAACAAATCTCGAAGCGTGTATCCGATTTAGTCCAAATTTGGTTCACCGTAATATTATTAACAAACTTAGAACGAATTCGAAGATGGGCAATATCGGTCCACTCCTTCTGGTACCTCACCCCACAAAATTTCAAATTTTTCACAGAAAAAAAAAATTACTGCACAGACAGAGAAAGGATAATACGATTTTGCTCCAACTTTTCAAATCCTAATATTTGCATCAATGCTAGGTTAGGTGCGAAAATGGACAATATCGGTCTACTGCACCAAGTACCTCCCCCACAAAGGGTCAACATTTTGAATAATTATAACTCTTATAAAATGTGGTGTAAGAGTCCACATCACACTATTTTTATTAACCCAAGATCTGGTGTGAAGGTGAAATATATCAGTCTACTCCTTTTGGTACCTCCCCCACAAAGGATTAAAATTTTGAAGCTAATAAAACTCGAAATTAACATCCGATTCCATTCAGACTTGCCACATCTCAGTATTTCCATCAACACAAGACCTATTATAAAGATGGTAGAGATCGTACCATTCTTTCTAGTACCTCCCCCACAAAGGGTCAAAGTTTTGAATAACTAAAACTTAATAAAATCCAAAATAAGCATCCGGTTGTCTTCATATTTTACATATCCCATTATTTCTACTAACACAAAATCTGCTGTGAAGATGGGATATATCGGTCTAATCATACCCCAAAAGCTCATTAAAGGCCAAATTAACATCCGATTCCATTCAGACTTGACACATCTCAATATTTCCGTCAACACAATATCTGTTTTAAAAATAGTGGATATCGGAACATTCAACATTTAAACTCAACATTTTGAATATCCATGAAGCTCATAAAACGCGAAATTAACATCCGGTTCTCTTCATATTTCACATATTCCATTATTTCTACTAACACATGATCTGCTGTGAATATGGGATATTTCGGTCCACTCTTTCTAGTACCACCCCCACAAAGGGTCAAAATTTTGAATATTCATGAAGCTCATAAAACGCGAAATTAACATCCGATTCCATTCAGACTTGGTACATCTCAATATTTCCATCCACACAAGATCTGCTATAAAAATTGTAGATCGGACCATTTCTTTTGGTACCTTACCCACATAGGGTTCAAGATTTTGAAAAACAAGAAGCTCAAAGAAAGGCCTTCTCCCTCGGAAACTACTCCATAGACGGTCAACAATTTAAATAATCACACCAGAAGTCAAAATGTATTTAAATAAAATTTCCCCCAATTTTCCTCGATGACACACTAGCCCCTCAATAACCTTCGAATAGCCTCTCCATACAAATATCTACAAAACATCCTTAATAGATTGCCCAAGAGGGCAACCTGTTGATGACGTTTTCTATTCGCTGCACCTCTCTCTTTCGCTCGCTCTCTCTGGTCGATAAGAAGTCTAACTTTTTTCCATGTTTTCTTTTTCTGTGTTTTTTTTAGGTTCAGCAATTAAGTGCTATGTTTGCAACAGCCACAAAGATGCCAATTGTGCATTGGACATACCACCAGATAATCTACTCAAGGACTGTGAAGAGGTCTATTCAACAAGAGGACGTGGCATTTCGACATATTGTCGTAAAATATCGCAAATTATTGAATTCTCTGTAAATAACTGTAAGTATGAGAATAAGAAAAAAACGCAGCAAAATAAGAAAAAGAAGGAGCTTAGTGTCTTCTCATCGAAGAAGAGCTCCAGTTCTTCTTTCATAGAAGAGCTTAAGGTCTTCTTTCATAGAAGAGCTTAAGGTCTTCTTTCATAGAAGAGCTTAAGGTCTTCTTTCATAGAAGAGCTTATGGTCTTCTTTCATAGAAGAGCTTATGGTCTTCTTTCATAGAAGAGCTCAAGGTCTTCTTCACAGAAGGCCTTTATGTCTTCTTTATAGAAGGCCTTTAGGTCTTCTTCATAGGAGGCCTTTAGGCCTTCTTCATAGAAGAGCTTAGGGTCTCCTTCAAATTTTCCCTCACTTCCTTGCTTTAATTTTTTTCTCCTTCTCTCTCAATTGCAGTACCCCCCGATAGCCGTGTCATTCGTACCTGTGGTTTCCAAAATCAAACCAGCTACAACAGCTGTTATACCCGTGCCGGTTTCGGCGGACGCCAGGTTGTTTGCTCCTGCACTGAAGATAACTGCAACACAGCTGCTGGTCTCGGCGTGTCTTCTCTGGCCATGGCCACATCGCTGTTCTTCGCCTTGGCTTTTTTGCTGAAAAGATTTGTTTAATTCCGTTTTGATTTTTAATTTTATTTTAGACAAGAAAAAATCACAAAATTTGCAGTTCATTGAACGTTAAATAGATTTTTATTTTTATTTTCGAATTGTTTTATATTTATTTTTTGTTATTATTAACGTCACATTGTTGTTGTATTAAGTTTCTTTGTTAAATATTTAATTCACCAAAAGAAGTTTTATTAGAAGAAAACGAAAAAAAAGAGGAAAATTAAGAAAAAAACTGAAACACCGCCTAATTTTAATGTAATATTTCAAAACGAAAAAACGAAGAAGAAAAACAATTTCAAATTAGAATTGGATTGAATTTTTAGAAAGCCTACCACATTTATTTGGATTTTTTAATATTAAGGTGAGTAGTTATTGGAATTTTTTGAAATAAAATATAATTTCTTATTTCGTTTGTTTTTTCATTTCAGAATAATGGATAATTTGAAAGTAAAATGTTGTTCAGCCATCCCGCCACGTAAACCATGAAATATAAAGGATTTGCATTGGATTTTTTTCTGAAGATTTTTAACATAATTAAACATAGTAAGGTCTTGTCCCAGAAGACCACAACATCATATTCCAGAAGATTCATGAAATAACTTATGGTCTTCTCTCGGAAAGTTATTAAATATTCCCATAAAATATCCTAATGTAGTCTCAGAGAAGATTTAAGGATTTTCTCCCTCAAGACATAAAATACTACTCTTCAAAATGAAAAGTAATAAAGAATCTCTCCTACAGGACACAGAGCCCTGCTCTTTAAAATGACCCTAAAGGCTTCCTCACTAAGAACTAGAAGTATTACTAATACATGCTCATGGTCCTCTTATTGAAGACCAAAAATCTTCTGAAAACCGCAAAATATTTTTCCAGAAGACTCCTAATACCCATTCAACTTCGAGGACTTCTAATATAAACTTGATGGTCCACCCATGGTCCTCTTGTTGGAGACCAAAAATCTTCTGAAGACCTCAAAAATGTTTTTCCAGAAGACTCCTAATACCCATTCAATATTCCCATAAAAAACTGCTCTTAAAAATGAAAAATTCTAAAGGGTTTCTCCTATAGGACACAGGGCAATGCTCTTTACTATGACCCTAAAGGTTTCCTCCCTAAGAACTAGAAATATTTCTAATACTATTTCGTGGTCTTCTAATATAAACATGATGGACCATCCATTGAAGTCTTCGGCAGACAAAATGTTAAGTTCATTTATTGGAAATCGAAACTCTTCTGAAGACCTAAAATCTTTTTCAAGAGGCCTCTAAATACCCACTCAATAATAGATCCTAAGGTAATCTCTATGGAGATTCTTTAAAGTACTGCTCTCCAAAATTACCTTAAGGTTACCATCCTAGAGACTTAGAAAGGTTTCCTACAGAATTTGAAGTCTTCTAATAAAGACTCAATGGTCCCCTCATTGAAGGCTTCGACAGTGGAAATGCTAAGTCATCGTATTGGAACTCAAAAGTATTCTCAAAGAAGATTTTAAGGTGTATTTATAGCTCTCTCTTCCAATAGGAAACGTTTGACAAAATAGGATATTGATACGATATCCTCCAAAAATTTTTGAGATTAACCTATTTCGCGATTTCAAATTTCTATGTGCCTAAATATCTTAATAAATGATACCTATCCGCACAGGACTTAGGACTTTGGGAGTCTTAGGGGCATTTGGATTTTTTGGAATTTGATCTTTCTGGTGGAAGACTTATTCAATAAACCACAAAAGGCTCCCCCTATTCTATACAGAAATGTTAGATGTTCTCAAATAAGATTTTAAGGAGTCCTTATAGAAAACCTTCAAATAATCTCATAGAAGACTGCAGGCTATTCTGATAGAATATATCAAAGTCAACTTTATCCACGACTTTAAAGACATCTCGAAAAAGGCTCATAGGTCACCTGTAAAAGAGCATCATCTCATCTCAAAAAAGGGCCTTAATCTCATAGGAGACTTCTGGGTATTCGGATAGAATATATTTGAGGTCAACTTTATCCACGACTTTGAACTCATCTCAAAAAAGGCTTATAGGTCTCCTTTAAAAGAGCATCATCTCAGAAAAGGCTCATAAGAGACATTAAAATATATTTTCCAAAAGACTCCTAGAACCCATTAAATATTCCCATAAAAGACCCCAAGGTATTCTCTGAAAATATTGAAAGATATTCTACCTCAAGACATGATGTATTGCTTTTCAAAATTACCTTAGAGTGTCTTTCCCAGGGACTTGGAAATATTTCCTATAACGCTTTGAGGTCTTCTAATATAATCATGATGACCACCTCACAGAAGCTTTTGCAGACAAAATCCTCTTATTGCAGAATTTAAGATATATTTTAAAGACCGCAAAATCTTTTCCCAAAAAGCTCCTAAAAACCATTAAATATTCCCATAGAGAACCCTAAGGTAGTCTCTGAAAAGATTGAAAAAGTTTTTCCCTCAAGAGGTGATGCTCTTCCTTCTCAGAGACTTGGAAGTACTTCCTATAAAGCTTTGAGTTTTTTGAGGTCTTCTAGTATAAATGTGAAGGCTCCTCCACAGAAGACTTCTGCAGACAAAATGTCAAGTCTGAAAAGATAGATTTGTTTACCGGAAGTTGGCCCTATAGTCGGCAGCTCGGAGACTCGAAGACCATTGCAAAATCTCATCTTAAGAAAAGTCTCGTAAAATGTTTGTATGGTTTTTTAGTTGACCTTTGGACTCAAGTTTTCTTTCTTATTTTATTTTGGCTTGAGGTCAGTAGAATAATCGAATCGAAATATTGGAAATAAAATGATGAAACAAAATTAATTGTTTTTTATTCTACTGACCTCAAGCCAAAATAAAATCTCGTAAAATATTTAGAAATTAATGAGGTATTTGCAAGTATTTCCTATAAAGCTTTGAGGTCATCTAATATAAACGTGATGGCCCTCTTTCAGAAGTCTTCTTCAGAAAAAATGTTAAGCCCCTTTATTGAAGATCAACAAATCTTCTAAAAAGATTTATTAGTTTACCGGAAGCTGGGCATCCGGCCCTATAACATCTCATCTCAAAAAAAAAATCTCGTAAAATATTTTGAAATACCTTTAATGTGGTCTCATAGGTCGCCTTTAAAATCTTATTTTGGTACTTCTAAAGAAGAGGATACATTAACTTTTTAATGATATTCCATAAAAGGAGATCTTATCATCTCAAAAAAAAAAGCGACCCACGACGCTTTTAAAAACGTATTAAAGTACCCTAATACGAAGAAAAAGAATGTATACATTAACTTTTTAAATATATTCTTTAAGAGGAGATTTTATCTCATCTCAAAAAAAGAAAGAAACATCTCGTCTAAAAAAATTGATAAAAGATTTTTAAATACCTTCAATGAGGTCTTATAGGTCGCCCTTAAAAGAGTATTATGGTAATTCTAAAGAAGAGGATACATTAACTTCTTAGGGAGATTCTATGAGAGGAGATTTTATGGAGAGAATTAAACAAAAATCGTATGAATAAATTAAAACATTCGTAAATCTTCTTAAAATTATAATATTGTCTATTTTTAATTTATTAAAAATAATTTTCAAACATTCCCCTATTTATACAATGCAACTTTATATTTCAAATCCAAAACCCAACTAAACAATAACAAAAAAAAACCCAAAACCATATTAAATTGTTAACACTTGTTTCCCAACATTACCTCTCAATGAACCAATGAACAAAGTAAAGCAAATGAAAAAATGACAGAAACCTCCTACTCCTCCTCCTCACCTTAAAATGAAAGTATTATTGAATGTGAATTTTTATAAAAAAAAAAAACATAAACTAATGGAAATTATAGCAAATGTATGTATATGTAGCCTACCGTTAAATTTTTTAAATTTTAAGTCGAAAACGAAAAAAATTGTTTTTTTGGTCCTCTCTTTTTTAGAAAGATTTTCAAATAATAACAAACCAAAGCAAAATATATTAAAATAATGAAAACGAAGAAAACTAATAAAAACATTTGTTAAAAAAATAAAAATAATACCAAAAAATAAAACACTAACAATAAGTAATAAGTTTAAAAGTAAAAAAAGAAAATAAGAAAGATGTGAAAGAAAAAGTTAATATTAAAAAAAACAAAACATGCAGCTAATACCAAAAAACAAATAAATAAATAAAATTTACTTTATTTTTTTTTCCAAGGAAAGTGAAGAGTAAAGTTTCCCAAACACAAAAATAAAATCTAGAAAACTGCTTTAGAAAAATAAAACTTGGAAATAAAATACATACATAACAACTGAAAAATTACAACAATGTCATGCAATCACAAAACACAAAGAATACAAATTAAGTAAAGGCAATTCGACCAGTTTAGGCCAATGATTCAATAGTTAGTTAGATACAACATGATCACCCATAACTTCAAGAGAATAAACCACATGCTTACAAAGTGGTATAGTGTCATAAAATTGTATTTAAACTGAACTTGTTCAAAATAAAGTGAGGTTATGTGGAAACGGACCAAGAGTACATCAATGGATCATAGAGGAAGTTTTTTTCTAATAATAAGAGTCGAATAGGTTCGAATTACAAGTTTGGTAAATGATTCTAATAGGGTTTTATCTAAGAAGATTCAAAATTTTCTTCCAGAGGAAAGCCTTCGTTAAGAACGTTAAGAAAGAGAAGATTTAAAGATTTTCCCCTACAAGGCACAAAGTACTGCTCTTCAAAATGATCTTAAGGTTTCCTCCATAGAGTGGTCCTTATAGAGCTCCGAGGTCTTCTTATGGTCCTTTGAAAGAAGTCTTCTTCAGAAAAAATATTGAGTCATCTTATTGGAAATCCAAAATATTCTGAAGACCGCAAAATATTCTTCCAGAGGTAGTCTACAATTCTAAAATGGTCTCTAAGAATTTCTCCTACAAGACACAAAGTACTGCTCTTCAAAGTGACCTTAAGGTTTCCTCCCTAAAGACTTATAAGTGGTCCTTATAGGTTTCTGAGGTCTTCTAATATAATCCGTATGGTCCTCTCATAGAAGTCTTTTACAGACAAAATTAAGTCATCTTATTGGAGATCAAAAATATTCTGAAGGTCGCAAAATCTTTTTCTAAAGTTAGTTTCCAATTTTAAGGTAGTTTTTAAGAAGATTTAAAGATTTTCTTCTATCAGGCACAAATTACTGCTCTTGAAAGTAACCCCAAGGTTTCCACCCTAAAAACTTGGAAGTCGTCCTTATAGAGTTCTGAAGTCTTCTAATATAAGATTGATTGTCCACTTAAAAAAGTTATACAGAAAAAAATATTGAGTCCTCAATTTTTTTTTCCAAAGACTCCGTAAACCCATTAAATATTGTCATATAAGATCATAAGGTAATCCCTGACAATATTTTAGTATTTTCTCCAAAATTACAAAAGGTACGGTACGTGTTTCCTATACAACTTTGAGGCCTTCTCATAGTGGTCTTCTACAGACAAAATGGTATACCTTCTTATTTGAGATCAAAAATCCTTTGAAAATTCCTGTTCTTCTCAAAAAAGATTTTAAAGCATTCTTCAAAAGACAAAGGTTTGTTCCTGGATTTTGATTTTCAAAGTTTTGTATCTGGTCTTATAATAAAGATCATAAGAGACCTCAGTGGCTTCGTAAAAAAAAAGATTTACAGGTCTACTTTGGCATTTCAGATAATCTTATATCAGTCTCTTCGTCTTCTCGTTGACGAATTGAAAGTCTACTTCAGGAAGATATCAAGGTACACTTATAAAAAGTTTTGAAAGTCTTTTCCTAGTAGATTTAAATGTACTCTCAAAAAGAAAAAATAATAGAAAGGTTCCCTGATAAAGGACTTTAATGTCTTATTAGAACATTAAGGTCTTCTTATATATATATATATATATATATATATATATATATATATATATATATATATATATATATATATATATATATATATATATATATATATATATATATATATATATATATATATATATATATATATATATATATATATATATATATATGTCGATGCTTTTTAGCTGCAATTTGTGGGAAGGCCTTTGAAGACATTATTCACAGTGTTTTGGTTGCTTACCTGTAAGCCCTTCTGATGCTTGATACATTGCATGGCAAAAAATCCAAATCTCAAGATATATCAAATTAACATCAATTTCACTGAAATTCATGCTCTTTCGCCGGCATATTTCCGTCCCAACATGAATCTAAAGGGCTGGGTGATTTAAACGTAATTTGTCCAATCCGTTTATTACCTGCAATTCGTGGAACGTGGAATTTTGGGAACATTATTCACAGTGTATTGGTTCATTCATAGGTGTCTGACAGCAGCAATTCCATCTGAAATCTGCATGAAGCTCTGTCTCTAAACTCAAGAAATAAAAGGACGTATGGTACAGGATTATGGCTGACTGGTTAAACATGCGCAGTAGACATGGAAATTATCCTATGTTATGGGTATTAAAGGCACGTACACCGTCCTTAATTCTACCCCACAGTGTTTTAACTTCCAGGATGACATTTTACATTCTGCAAACGCATCACTTGGAATACAATTCAACACTGTCTGATAGTTTCTAATATGTATGGACCACATTCTGTAGATTATGAAAGTCTTTCCTAAAGGTCTTGCGTTGACTATGCCTATCCAAAAAAGTTAGTTTCAATGACTTCATGTTAAAACACCCAAGCCAATATTAAATGGGCATCTGTGACGGCTCACGGCTGTGACGGCTCTTATGTAGGTGTTTTATTAGTCTCTCCAGGAGGCAACCTATTTCTCAAGCGGGCATTATTGGTTTGTTCGGCCCAACATCACTTCGCCATAAAAATCTGAAATATAAGATACGATTTGTATATATTCTTCAATATGGAAGTAGGAAATATATATCTGCAGCAGAATAATTCTTACACTGAGTGACTTCTTTTATAAAACCCAAACAAATATTGCATCAACATCTGTGTCGTCTCGATGATAGCCTAATTTGGATGCAACATATTGCGGTTTTAAAGTGGAGATTCTTTTCCAATAGGTGTTTTCATCTGGAGGCAGTCGCTAGTATCCAGATAATAATCCGAGACTGCATCAAATATTCAAAGGACGACATTGAAAAGAAACAATCGCCATCAAAATCTGGAAATGTGAAACACGATTTGTTAAAATAGAATATTTTGAAAACAACAAAAATCGACTTACCACAGAATAACTCTCACACGTTTTCTAATGTCGAAATATGTAAAAAGTTTTCAAAACCGACCTCGAACCCTTAAAAACGTTTTTGTTAATCTCACTTTTGATCAGCTTCAGTTGGAATATTTTCAACATTCTCTGACACCTCAAGCCAGACTTGTGTAGACATGTAAAAAATATTATGGCACTTAGTAATTGTTGTAATTTTATTTGAATGCAAAAAATGTGCAGTAGTGCATTTCATTTCAAAAGAAAACACACACCCCACACTTATACACCGACACATTACTGACCAACTGCCAAAAACACAAAACAAAAAAAATGTTTAAAGCTATAATTCAAGATACTGATACAAAAAAACAAAAAAAAAAATCATAAAACAAAACACAAAGTTTAGGAGTTATTCCACCAAGATCCCCCAAAGAAGAAAAATCCAAAGACACTCACACAACCGTACATAGTGTAGATCTAAACGGAAACAAGAAAAACTTGAAACTAAACCTGAAATAGTTAAAATAAAATGAATAAAAAAAACGTATTTATTTAAGTTATTCTAAATTATTTTTGTACCCATTCAATTACCAGAAAAATTGTCTCTTTTTCTCCTACTCCTCCTCCTGTTAATATTTTATTGAATTTATAGGCTTGAAACCGAAACCAAAAACCAATTTCGAAACATAAACCCATTTTAGCAATAATAAAAAGATTGTATTGGAGAATTTCAAAACCGGAACCCAAAAAAACATAGATGTAATTTGTTAACGAAACAAAAGAACACACAAAACATTTTGAAAATCATTAATTACAATACAAATTAAGAATTAACAAAAAGCAAACAAACGAAACAACAAATAAAAGTAAAATAAAATGATATGTATTTCTTTTAGTAAAAATTGTAAAAGCTGATTAAATTGTCATAAATGGAAAGATAAAAACAAGTATTGAATAAAGATTTAATAAAAATTACAAAACAAGAAGATATGGAAAAAGAACTCATTTATCGATTGAAGGGTTTATTAAACCATCATCGAATACATTTTCAAAAGTATTTTTAAATAATTATACCAAAAAATATAGAAATTCTTAAAAAATTAATAACTTACGGGTTCCTTTTAAAACAAATCCACAAACTACTTAAGTTTGTCTTTCAATATAGTCCCGAAAACCTCTTGGTGTTAGAAATACATCATTTTAGAAATAGAAATACAATACATGTCCAGTTGATTTTTCAATTATATTCTTAAAGCCAAAATACCGCAGAGCAACATTCGGGAAGCGTATGACGGTTTCATTGTCCTTTTCAAGGCCATAATTCGTGCCAAAGGTGACCAATTCGAACAAATCTAAACTTATTCTAAATTTTGATGCTATTTCCGACATGTTTTCTATCATTCAATAAAATTCAAAAAGATGTAAAATGATGGCATTTGACTTTGTTGCAGTTTTTTATCTCACCCTTAATATGGGAGCTATATTTAAATTTAAGCCGATTCTCACAAATTTCAATAGGGTTCGTTCTTGGGCCAATCAATTTGTTTGCAAAATTTCATCTCAATCGGATAATAAATGCGGCCTGCATTTTGTTCACGAAAATACATGGACAGACGGACTGACTTTTATAAATCGACTCAGAAAGTGATCATGGGTCTATCTCGCTTCCTTCTCCATGTTACAAACAAATGCACAAATACATAATACCCTTACCACTATGTGGTGCAGAGTTTAAAAAACAATTAATATACACCTAAGTCTGTTTTTACACGGTCTTTTTGTACACGGTTTTGATATAACACGGTTTGAAAATTGAATATTTTTAATTTTTTTACACTATTTTATTCCATTTAGCACGATTTGAAATTTTATGTACTTAAATTTTTTTGTCAAATTTAATTTTTGCGAAGCTGGTCAAAGCAAATGTGAATAGCACTAATTTAGGGGAATTCCCTTTATGTGCATACAATAAAATTTACTGGTCAGAGCAATTGAAACGTGTTAATAATTTGTGAACTGTCAATGCAATAAGACGTGTTTGGTAAAAAAAAATAAAAAAATTAAAAATTCTTGTTTTTCACTAATTTTAATAGGTTTTAGAGATTAGGAATAAATCACCCATTTTTGTATAAGATCAATGTCTATTTTACATGTTTTTTTTTACACGGCTTCTTCTGGAACCAATCTACCGTGTAAAAACAGACTTAGGTGTATTTTCAAAACTATTACCAAATAATTATATTAAAAATATATGTACTATTTGCTGCTTAAAAATTGCATTTTAAAAATTTCAGCACTGTAACCTTTTTAAAAAAATATTCTTTAAAAATGTACGATTGGTCCCTTAGTAAACACTCTTTCAAAACAACAACATATTAAAAATATTTTAAGAAAATATAAACAAAGTTTTGTTCTTAAAAATTGTGCCGAAATTTTAGAAGATGTTGCTCCTTGAAAAATTTTCCTGAAAAACTGTCACTGGAAACTTCTCAGTAGTTCCCGATGCTTAAAAAATGGGCAGGGCAAAAGCTTTTGATATTGTTAATCACGGACATTTGATATTGTTAATGAGGACATTGAGCACACCGACCTCTGGCCAAGTTTGAGTCGTTGGTTCGTGAAATACATTTGTGGACGCCAGTCATTCGTGGAATACAGAAAGAGTAGTCGAATAGAGACATCCCACAAGACATCGCTATGAGTCAAACCAATACAGTTCGCTTCCTTTTTGAATTTGAAATTAGAAGCAGAGTTCGATAAGAAAAGATATCAGAACGAGCACAGAACTACTAGTTACTATAATAACAACATATACCTTGGTTTTCCCATTCGAATCGTCAAACTCAAAAAGACCCCTAAATTTTGTTTTAACATTTACCCATCTAGTAATTTCCCCAACAAAAAAAGACCATCATGGTTACTTTTGTAAACTAAAATGTTTATTTAAATGGTTCATATAAACATCCAGTTCATCTTCTGATTCACTTTGTTCCATAACGGCAGAAATATGTCGTTTTTCTTTGCCATCACCATCTTCTATATCATCATCGTCACTGTCGTCTTCTTCAAAGTATTTATCTTCCCTGTCCTGATTCAAAATTACCAAATCATCATACTGTGTATTATCATCTACGGTGGCATAGTCAAAATCACTATCCTGTCCATTTAAAAAGGATTCATGCATTTGACTTATAAATTCCTGCCGCAAAAGTTCTCTCTCATCGGCAGTGATGAGATTATCTAAAGGAATGATTTTGTTTGCCACTGCTTTCTTCTTTACCTCCTTCTTCGTCTCTACTTTACTTGAAGAACAGGCTTGTTGTTCATTGTCAAAATTACCCCATTGTTGGCGGAAATTTTGTGGCACCACAGAATCAACGACATCTTCTGTGATACCATCTTTTTTTGTTTCTTTTATCACTTCTGAAGAATTCGTTGAACTTGTACTATCACACGACTCATCGGATTGAGTTTCTTTAATTTTCTTCTCAGCCTCTTCCATTATTTTGGATATTTCATCACGTTCCATGTTGTGCATTAGTATGCCAGAAAATGTGGTGTTCTTTACATCATAGCTATCACGCATTTGCCTTTCTTCCTTGCTCAAATGTTGTCCAACCAGTTCGTGGTATAGTTCTGGGGATCTTTTCATCATTTCCTGTTCACTGAAGTACTCACCATCTTGAATGAGTCGTTGCAGGGCAACATATCTGCGATTCTTTACATCCTGTTGTCTTGTTTTCAATTTCCTTTGATATTCACTAACCATGCAATACATTTCCTCATCACTGTCGGCTATAGAAAGTCGTGCAAAATCTTCCAAATGTTTCTGCTGCATATAACTACCGAAACGGATAAGGAAGGTCTGTGGATTCCTTTGATATACATCTTTGGCTAATTGGATTTTTTCCGATTGCAGCAGTTCCGCCTCACCTCTTTGTTGTGATTTAAAAACGATTTTACTATTTTCACTTAGATCTTTTAGTATGTCCATGATTTCTGGTGGAAGAGGTTTGTTGTTATCGTTTGTTTGGTCTACTGTTGTTTTAGATGGTTGCAATTTCTCCTCGGATGATTTTTCTTCAGTATCCGTTGTCATGTTGATCTTCCAAATTGTCTGAGGTAAACGTTTACTCGAATTTCCTTGTTTCTCGTGGATTTCTAGGATATTCAATAGTGGTGAATTCTGAAAGTATTATATTAAAAATATTCTCAGTTTCGGAAACGGAATGAGGGATCACATTTTCATAGTGCAAGCAAGGATCCTGTTAACCAATTCTGAGGCATTTAAGCTCAGATACGAATTTGCGCGTTCAATTTTAGTCACTGCAAGTAGGCTTGACTTGGGAGTTGTGAATGAATGAATTATAGCTTGTGTGATGAGTTGAAGTCAGGAGAACAACTGGTCAATATCCCAAAACGTCCAACCTAGTCGATCATCAATAAAGTCCGGTTAAAAACAAAATAAACTCTGCAGAAGCAAGAACATTGCAAATGTTTAGGGATGTCTAAATCGACTTTCGTCTATAACGTTGGGGTTCACTAGATGAGGAAAATCATCTGTTTAGTAATTTATAGGGTACACTAGGTACATTTTAGACAGAGCCGTTAATGAAAAATTGCATGGTATTAGTTTTCATATATCTTTTTGAGAAAATTAATACTCATACGAATTCCCTTGATAATATCAAATATACATATGATCAACATTAAGTTAAATTATTTATACATATCTATTGAACTATTGGTAGAGGCGAGTATATTCATTTGTATTCATAATGATTAGGGATGTCTAAGTCGTTTAGTAATTTACTCATTTTAGACAACCGTTAATAGACACTTGCATTGGGATAAATTTTCAGTTATTTTTTGGAAAATTAATATTCAAACGACCTTCCTTAATAATAACAATATATTTATAAACAAAATTAAGTTTTCATTATTTCCACATATCTATGGAACCATTGCCATGAGTATATTTTTTAAATATATAATTCGCAAACATGATTTAACGAAGGGAAAAAACACCAAATTTTGAACTTTACACTATAAAGAAGTAACAACGAGCCGACAACATACACATAATAATAGTATTAACACATTATTGTTTATCTTCTAGTAGGTAATTAAAATAGGTAAAAAAACAAAAATCCACTAAAGTTAATACTGTTGTGGACAGAGGACTTTTCGTTTGTGGAATTGCAAAACGCACAAAATCAAATCAGTAAACATTCTAGTCAAATGTTAATGCTATTGAGGTAAATGGAAGTATGGGACATGTGGGCTCCAATTGCAATGCTGTTGCCATGCAATCGGCAGATGCTGTATATTCGCCTAGGCTTTCGAGAACTTTGCCCAATGCGAACCTGTAAAATATAAAAATTTAATGAAATATATGGATTAGGGAAGTATACGGAATAGCGTACCATATTTTTGGACAATTCGGATCCAGTTTTGCAGCATCCTTAAGTAGTTTTTCTGCCAAACGAGGTTCACCCAAAACATGATGGGTTTCACCCAAAGCCCTTAATGCTTCTGTGTGATTGGGATTGGCGGCCACCGCATTTAAGAAACATTGCTTAGCCTCGTTCCATTGTTCTTGATAAACACAAACTAAACCTCTCTGGAAATGGGAAGAAAAAGACAATAATGCCATGTTTACGTTAGAACTTTTTGTAGGGTTAACCTACTTTGAGAGGATTTATTTGAAGTAAAAGTAATGGATATGACAATTAAAATCCAAATCCAGTGGGTTAACCCTCATATATATAAACGTACTATTAGTCAAATATTTTAAATATTTTCTAATGATATTAGTTGTGTTCCAGAACCTGCAAATTAGTACTAATTAGCACTAATTCTGCTACAACGCGTTCCCGTACTCCAAAAACTAGCAAAACTTTCAGCTCTCTCGAGAAAAAAATGGCGCTGAGTGGTGCACATTTCTGCTTGTTTTAGCTACATGAATTTGGCCGAGTAGAAATGTGCATATTGTAAATTTGACATTTAATTGCCAGGGCTAACAAGGTTGAAAAATGTATTGATACAGAAAATGATCAACTTGAAAACTAAAGGAAAAAATAATATTTGTCGTGCAAAAAACAAAAAGAGAAAATATGGAGCAACTGATGTGGTCACTTTTGGATGATTCCAGCAGTGAAGAGGACTGGCTGAATGAGGAATCAGATTATTAATTATTATTATAAATTATTAATTTTAACTTATCGTCTTCATTTTTTAAATGTTGGCGCTCATTTCAGTAAGGTTTTACTAGTCCGATTTAGGCTGTTTACTTTTGGAATTTTGAATTTTGACATTTTATCGCATTTCTGCTAATTTTCCGTTCCCTTATTTTTTGAGCAAACCTAAAAGAGAATGACATTTCGAACTGTTCTCTCTTCTGCTAGTTTTACTACTAAAAAAGTACTGGAACACAACTATTATTGTGCTTACCATATACATAATTTGATGGGATAGGGGATAAATCTGTGAAGCTTCATGTATGCAATTCAATGCCTCGGCTGGTTGTTCAATGGACAAATAAACATCGGCCAACAATAGCCAAATCTGCAAAAAAATATTTGTAAAAATCGATTTGATTTTTTCGAGAGAGCCTCCATTTACCTTAATTTGTATCATCCATGGTCGCTGAGGTCCTGGTTTTGGTGTAAACGAACTGAGAGAACTGGCCGCTTCGCTCAAGGCTTGTTCCACACGTGATACTGCCGCCAAAGAAGCCGCATAAACAGAATCTTAAAATTAAATTTCAGGATATACAAATAGAAAATTAACTACCAAAAGCAATGCGCAATGATGAAAAAACAAGAGGCAAAAAGGAAACAAATAAAAATATAGATACAAATATCTAGAAATAAAATGCATATAACTGGAAAAACGGCAATAACAATAGCATACAAATTACAGAAAAAATATTAGGTTAGAGAGAAAGAAAAGCTTTTCTTAGATTTTCATAATGTTTTGTTTGGTGAATATATCCTAGAAAATGTCCTTTAATTTCCTTGGTTTCAGTTAGCATTTCAATTAAAAGCAACGATTAATTGGTGTTGGTGTTTAATTTTTTAGCATTTCATTACGGTAGTTGTATAAAAAATTGTTGTTAGACAATAAAAATTGAAAGTGATTATAGGATAGTATTGAAAAAGGAAACAATGAATTGTTTAGTACGGAAAAAAATAAAATTCCAAAGAAACAAAATATTCAACAAAACATTTTCTTAACCACCAGAACTTACAGTATTATTTATTTGAATTGATAATGATCCGAAAAATGTAGAAAAAATATGTTTTTATACATTTTAAAATTATGTTTCAAAAAGAAAATACAAAAACAAATATTAATATTTGACACAAGAAAGTTAATGTTAAAGTATTGCAGGGAGATATTTTTCTTGGTCTTGAAATATTGTTGTAGTTATTTAAATTTTAATTTGATTTTTACGTTGCACAGGATTTGTAAAACACAGTCGATTTAAATTGTTAATTCCATTGTGTATACCTCAAATAAATATTCATAACAAAGTTTCACCCGAAAAAAAGGTATAACTTAAACATGCCGCAGAAGATATCAAATGTGAAATTTTCCAGTCGATTTTTCAAAAGGTATGGACAAACCCATAGCACAATTTATATCCATGGTAGAAGAATACAGGTAGATGCTTGGGAACATTTTTGTCAAAAATTTTAAAATGCTTTGACAAAATTAAGTAGGTTTTTATACGTTTTCTTATACGACGCAAGTAGGATGTTGTTATAATACGCATTTTTCAAACAAATTTAAATAATTTTTCATTCAACATTTTCAATTTCAAAATCGGTTTGGCAGCAGCTGTGTCGCTGTATTCTTTTACCATGGTTATATCCATGTGACAGATGAGAGGAAAATATTTAATGGAGTTGGCAACGCGAATGGTTCTTTTTCGCACCTTGTGTAACCTATGTTGCATAAATAAACGCAACATTTGAATTTGGTTTTCCATACAAATAAAGCAATTTAAACCAAATAATTTTAAATTCAAGGATTTGAGTATTTTTTTCGGATGTTGATAAGTCTTTGGAGCAACATATAAGTTTTAAAATACAATCCTGAACGGCCAATTTCATAAAATTTTTTGGTCACATTTTTAAATTATTTTTCGAATCCTTTTTACAAAAAACGCATATTTAAAAAAAAAAATTGAAAGTATGGGGCCATGCTAAGGTTGGGTGCCAATTTTCTTGTATTATTACGGAACCGATTGAAACCAACACATCATATGACCACTTGTTAGATTGGTATTTCCATAAGTTTTCCACTGTACATTTCATTTCAGTAGAAGCGTATAAAACCCCGATTTTGTATCCGAACTTCCTGGTCGAATAACCTTGTATTTCCGCTACAAAAAATTACTTAGCCGTAATCAAGTTAAAAACACCTACACGTGAGAAAAATTTCAGGTCAATCCTAGCATGGCTCCTAAACTCAGCTTAAACCGAGCATTCGTGATACCCCTTTTTCTCCATCGGAATTATTTTTCGAGGGAAATTTTTGTTTATGGTGCCAAAAAACGGAAAATAAATATTCCGCATGGAATTATTATTCATGATTGGGCTGCTTGAAACACTCGGAAACATTGTCTATGTTACCCCACGACGGTCGTTTCTACGTTTCGAAACTATACGGACCCATATAATACCAGATAACGGTAGCGTTGTTACAACAATAACGTCTTCTATGCAGACAAACATGTCCTGCCTCAGAACATTATCAAACAACTATTTTTACCCTTCTTCAAAAATTCTGAATGTCTCCATTATGACTGTCATCTAAATCCTATTCATCTAAATTCGTTTCTACTTACTCGAATCCTTGTCCGACATTTGTGACGATGGTACATGCAGTATCAAACTCTTTGTGTCCGAATGTTTTTCTTCTTCGACATTGACTTGGCCTTCGTATAGTTCACGCCATATTGCCAGCATACGTTGTACGGTTACCAAAGCAATTTCGGCATCTTGCAAATGTAACTGTAAATGGGCTTTGACGTGTAGCAGATTTAAATTATCCGGAAATTCTTCTAATGCATCTTCAGTGACAACTAAAGCCTCACGCGGACGTCGTGATGCTGTCAACAGTAAAGCAAATAAATGTAAACTGGGTGCATGTTCGGTACGTAAGGCCAAGGCAAAGCGTATGTGAGTCAAAGCCTCTGGAATGTTATTGAGTAGGGCGTATTGTAGTGACAAATAATATTCGCATAAATGATCATTGCCATCGTTTTGTACCGACTTTTCCAGGGCATCCAATGCCAACTTGTTATAGTTTTCTCTTTCCAGTTTTAGAGTGCTCTGTATGGCCAGTTGCTGATAGCCAATGCCAACATAAAGTTGAGCCCTTGATGGCCTTAAACCTGTTGAGAAAATATGTGCTACTCAAATACATTTTCGAATATCATATCATGGTATTATACAAACCTTTGGTTTCACGTTTCAATGCTTGCTGGGCATAATCCAATCCCTCTTTAATTAAACCCAATGATTCATAGCAAAGTTTTGATGCCAAAAGACATGGCAATGGATCTCCCGGGTTTAGTTTCATTGATTCCTGTAATACCCTTAAGGCGTGCATATGTTTGCCGGCAGCCATTAAAGATATGCCATATTGACGCCAAACGTGTTGTTCACCAAACGAGAATTTCAATGCCTTTTCAAAGGACTCATTCAGCAATTGTACCAAACCCCAACGCACTGTGGCCAAAGTTAAGAGATCATACACTGCTGTGGCATTACCCATTGCATGAGTTCGAGCAACTTTAAACTCAGGACTTTGCGAGAGGACTGTATCCCTCACCGCCAATGCTTCAGCTATCAATAGTAACAAAATTGTTTCCTCCTGTTGATTGCGTGGCACAAATTGATTTCGTGCAGCATATTTTCGAGGTTTCCACAACTTTTTCGACGTGCCACCAGTCTTAAGCGTCGATGAAGCGCCCTGTTTCTTTTGGAATGGTGCTGTATATATTGTACCCGATACTCCTCGCAATAAGACCTCAGCCAATTGTCTGGCCAATGTTAGACGCAGCGATTGTGTAGTTTTAGTTTCAATTGCATTCAACATAATACGATAACGATCAACAGCTTCCTGAAGTTTACCAGCCTTAATCAGGACAATGGGTGCTCTTTGCAATGCAGTCTCTAGTATGGTACCCATGCGTCTGTTTAATTCTAGGGGATTTGCTGGAATTGTTGAACTAATTGCCATATTACTGGCCGATTGTTGGACACTGGCATTGATGGCCAATGTTGAGCCACCTGTATTGTTGGCCGAAGTTGCATAAGCAGCTATATCTTGTTCCTGTAGATATAGTAAGCCCAAATCGGTGGCACGTTCAAAACAGGATATCTAATGGAAGGGAAGATTGTAAAATGAAAATTCCAATATACATAAGAGAAAAAAGAATCATACCATTTCAGCTTCCTTTTCGGCTTTCTTGAACTTTGATGATGGTTTCGAGGTTTGATTTTCCAAACACAAGCCCTTAATGGCATATGATTCAGCCAGTATTTTTAAGCTTCGCCTGTGAAGAAGAACGAAATGAAAAAATGAAAAATCTAATAATCCACAAAACATACAATGTTAGTTCCTTCTCCGCCAAGGTATTCAATTCCGCTTTCACAAAATTCTCCAAGCTCTTCTCGTATTCCCCACAGGCATAGCACAGCTTGGCCAACAACAGATAAGCATCCAAGGCAATTCCCGCTGTTTTTCCATTTTCACCTGTTACCAAATTCAGACTCCGTCGAGCATCACTCAGACCACTCTTGGCTTTGGCAAAATTACTTTCAATTGGTGGATTTTCTTCTAAATAGGATTCCAAACGGGCCTCACCCACCAAGAAATGAGCTAAGCATTCTGCAAAAGAAAATATATGATTCAGTTCATGTCATGTATGTATGCGTGTGTGGCCTTGTTATGGAACTTACCATTATTTGGCGATCCCGTCTTCAATTCATCTGTTAAATCAATGACTTTTTGCCATTTGCCTTCACTGCGGCAGGTCTCGATTAAAGTCTCAACTTTTGATGTATTACGCATCCTTTCCAATCAATCAATTCCTAATGTTATGGTAGGGAATTTGGGTTCATGTACTTCCTAGACTAAATTGCACGGAGTTTGCTATTCTAATTTACATTCCAATTGTCGGACTATATGGAAGCAGTTCCAAGTTAAACTTTGCCAGTGTAAAGCACCAGAATTTTATGATTTTATAGGTATTTTTCTAAAAAACTTGTCCACTACTCTGAAAAAATCTGATCGATTTATTATTACTTGATGCTTCTTCTTTTTCGTCTTTGCAATGCACTGTAGAATGATAGCATGTAGGGTTGTCGACATCAAAATATCTAGATGGGAAGTTTACGTTTTTTCTTTGTATCTTTAAAGGCATTATCAGACAGAATGTGTCTTACATATTGTATGATATATCATGATTAATGTGAGCTTCGGTCTGATTCGTGTTTACTCACAACTGGTTGCAATAGACACAGTCTTAAAAACATCAAATTCAGAAAAACTTTAGTTTGATGTTCGAATCTGTTTGTCCGGGTTCAAAGACCCATATCTCTGGATCCAGGAAAGAATAAAGTAAATATAGTGGCATTGTTAGAGTGTTAGCTATAATTCGGTACAAATTTTATGATCTCCCATAATGGGCAATTTTTTGGAAGCCATCTAAAAAATCGGGTCCAAAAAATTGATAATCTAGATATAACTCACGAAGCGTTTTAGATAATCCCATAAATTTGGTAGATCTGGATCTATACCGGGTCTTAGGACCAGTAATTTCGGTGAAATATCGAGGTATGTTCTCAAAAAAAAAATAATACTTTTCCGGTATCAGGGTACAAATACCTCTGGAAAAATAGCATAAAAACCCAAGAGTTTTTACAAAACTCGAGTTGTTCCTCTGATATGAATGTGGCAGATGTTCAGCACATCGTTGTCAATCCGAGTCCAATAGGAGTTAAGGCGGCTGCACAATCCGACTCTTAACTGAGCCAAAACTACTAGGGTTTGCCGGGGCAGCTCTCGCTCTTCAGCTGCAACGGGAGAACGATGGTCTCCTAGTACAGTATTCAGTCTATATCCCTCCATGACTTCTGAGACCACGTTAGAGAAAATACTATTTAGGAGCTAGATTCTTGTTCTATGAAAAAATTAAATGAAAAATATTTTCTTTACATATTTTTTTTTTCATTTCACATTTGCATAGAACAAGTCCTGCTCGATAGGCCTGTTGATTTAGAAGCTCTCTCTCTCATACCTTTTTCTTTAGATAATGAATGTGAAGGAACACAACTAGTAATTGGTCTTCATGAAATGTCATTAATGTATAATTGTTACTCGACGGCAACTCTATGCCTCTCTTAATGTAGTTAGTGCACGTTGTACGTTGCCTACGTTGGATCAGCTGTCAAATCAATGTTTACTTTTTTTACTGCGGTTTGTTAGGTTCAAAGGAAAAGGGATTGCTTATTAGTCACAAGAATTCAATTGTTATCAAATTTACATTTTCCATCGTGCGATGGACAATCAAGGCATTGAACTGGTGAACAATAAAACAACATAAAACGTCATCAGCAATCGCTTGCATACGCCGGAAAAAATCGAGGTAAACATGGAAAGCTCTGCACCATTGGATGGGTGTTTTTCCAAGACAATACAAATTTAATGTTATCAATTAATATTATTTTTAGGATTTCACTATGTCAGCGGATCTTAATTGGAATTTTGCCTGGCATTGGTCGGAGTTTTGTTCGACAGGAGTAAAACCATTTGCGGCCGGCATAAATGATTTATTGCCATGTTTCCAAGAAATCGTTTTACAATTTCCCATTTATACTGTATTCGCTGCAATATCTGCCTATAACTTTGGAGTATTTTCAAGAAATGTTGCTCGAAATCGTACCCAACTGATAGCCATAAATTGCAGAGTTTTAATCTCCCTAATGCTGGCCGCTCTACCGATATTGAAAATATTTCAATTTTATCGTATGGGTATTAAGTTATATGCTGCAGATGTCTTGGTAGTTTGTGCAGAATGTATTATGTGGGTAGTGCATGGAGGTAGGACATAAATCAAACTTGTGTTGTTTTCGTTGTTATCTTTTGTTATTTTTATTGATTAATTCTTCTTTGTACATAGCTATCAACTATGTTACTTGAACAAAGAGGGGTGGTTTAAAGAAAAAATTCCCTCAATTCGATATCTTTAACAGCTTACTATAAACTAATATGACTAATTTAAATGTTTTTTTTTGTTCATTGATTCCAGTCTATTTACTTTCTTCACGAAATTATGGAGATGTAAATCACCGAGGACCCTTAGTCATGACTGTTATGTGGCTAGCTGTGTTTGTACTCGATGCAGTTTGGTTACGTGCAAGTCGGCATTATGATTGGTGGCCCTGGAGTTTGGCCACTTTATTACTAGATCTTTGCTATGTTGTCACATTACTGCCCAAGGGCAATGCAGTGTATGCAGCACAACGTTTGCCGCATCAAGATAGCCTATCCGAAACTACATCACTTTTGTCACAGCGTTACACACATTTCCATTTCGATTTCAATGAAGTTCATCTGGGACATGCCCAGGATGAGGCTAATTTTGGATCACGCCTACTTTTCCATTGGGTTGGTCCCCTAATAGCCAAAGGCCTAGCTGGAAATTTGAAAAGAATTGAAGATCTCTTTGATCTACCGGAGGCTTTGAATATATCACGTTTGAGTGAAAAATTACAAATTAGCATATCCAGATCTAAGAACCTTATTTGGGCCCTACACAAGGCGTTTGGCAAAGAGTTTTATTCAATAGGTATTTTACGTTTTATTGCGGATACGACAAGTTTTGCTGGTCCCCTTTTATTGGGTGGTTTATTGAGTCAGGCTGCCATTACAGCAGACAATGAGGCGGAGGAAACAAATTGGAAACCATATCTCTATGCCTTGGGCTTACTGGCAACACAGTTGGTGTGTAAGTAAAACGAAAGTGATAATAGATCTGAATAGGTTTTAATTTGTTTTTTTTTATTTTCTTTAGATGCCTTCTGTTCGTGCCACTTTATGTGGCGCATGTCCTTGATTGGCATGAAAATGAGAATTGGTGTGGTTAGTGCCATTTATCGCAAAGCATTGGAGGCAAGGGGCCTAAAGGATGCAACACCGGAAGTATTAAATCTCATGTCCACCGATACAGATAGGATTGTTAATTCCTGTATATCATTTCATTCATTCTGGAGTATACCATTCCAATTGTTTACAACCTTGTATTTACTTTACACTCAGTTGGGGGCAGCATTTTTGGCTGGTGTTATTTTTGCCACAGCCCTTATACCCATAAATCGTTGGTTGGCCAAACGTATTGCTTATTATTCACAGGGACTGATGACAGCCAAAGATGCTCGCCTCTCGGCCACAAGTGAAACAATGTCTGGGGCGAAGCAAATTAAAATCAATGCCTGGGAAGATGTGTTCATAAAGAAAATATTGAATTTACGTCAGGAAGAAGTGAAATTTCTGGGTAAACGTAAATATTTGGATGCCTGGTGTGTTTATTTTTGGGCCACCACACCGGTGTTAATGTGTTTCCTTACATTTGGGGTATCCGTTTGGATGGGCAATCCATTGATTGCCTCTACAACCTATACAAGTGTGGCATTGTTGAACTTGCTTATTGGTCCACTTAATGCCTTTCCTTGGGTGTTAAACGGCTTGGTTGAGGCATGGATTTCAGTGAAACGGGTACAGGAACTGATTGATGTACGTATTCCAAGGATTTTGAACTGTTTTAGCAGTCTAATAACGTATTTTAATTTTTTTTTATAGCTCAAGGATTTGGATTTTTCTTCGTACTACAATCCTATCATAAAGGCCAGTTCCATTTTATCATCGGTGGAGGAACCCATAACAGTGTTGCAGTTAAAAGATGCCACATTTGAATATGAGGCCGAGGCAATTGAAAATGATTTACAAATTACCACATTCCGTTTGGAACAAATCAATATGGAGGTCAAAAAGGTAAGTGGAGGAGTAAATTTTTGAGATATTATTTCTCTAATTAGTTGGTCTTTTGCAGGGTGAACTTGTGTGCATTGAGGGACCTGTGGGCTCGGGAAAAAGCAGCTTGATTGCCGCCATTGTGGCTGGCATAAACTGCATAGAAGGTTCCATTTGTATACATGATCTAACATCGGGTAAGGTGGAAATATTTAGAAAAGAAAATCAGATTCTTATATTTTTTTTTATTTGCGAAAGGATTTGGTTATGTCCCTCAAACACCATGGCTACAACGTGGCACCATACGTGACAATATTATTTGGGGTGGTGTATTCGATGAGCAATGGTACAAATCAGTATTATTTGCATGTGCCTTAAATGAAGATATAATTGCTTTGGGCGGGGACCTAGTGGGTATTGGCGAAAACGGTCGAACATTGTCTGGTGGACAAAGGGCCCGTGTGGCATTGGCCAGAGCTGTGTATCAGGATAAGAAATGTAAGTATTTGGAATTCCCCTAAGCTCTATAAATTGAATGATATGAGTTTCTCTCTTTTTTCAGTTTATCTCATGGATGATATTTTGGCATCTCTAGACGCCCATGTAGCCAAACATATTGTTAAGCATTGTATTTTAAATTTACTAAAAGACAAGACACGAATTATTATAACACGAAATACCAGCTTATTTTATCATGCCAATCAGGTAGGGATGATACTGTTTTTAATATTCAAGATCCAGATAAAATCTCAGAAACTTCCCTGACTTTAACCTTTGTAATGAATATTTGCAGATTCTACATTTGGAAAATGGAAAACTAACCATGAGCGAATACATGACAGAGAGCATTGACTTAAGTTTAGAAGACTCAAATGATGAGGAGGCCCACATGATGGAAAGGCGTTCATCAATAAATCTAGATGAATTGCAAAAGGATGGTGACAATAAGAGTGTGGATAGTATAATGTTGGAGGTAAATGTTATTTTTAATATGAAGGTATTCTAATAATTCATTTGTTTTAAATTTTCCAGGAATCTCGAGAATATGGCCACTTGGCAATGAATGTATTTTCATGCTATTGGAAAGCCGTCTCCTCACCCTTGGCAATATTGGTTTTATTCTCAGTGGTATTTATGCAAATTACAAGAAATTTATCAGATGCATGGTTGGCCCATTGGGTTACAGACTCCACATTAGATGGCAATACAAATGACACGGCAAACGATACGAATCCAATGCTACATGTCGTACAACCTTTGAGCGTGTTTTCAAATGATTCCAATAATACTGCAGCCCATACGACTGGTTATTACTTGGGCATCTATGCCTCGCTGACTATTACCAATTCTCTGGTAACAATGGCAAGATCATTTCTCTTTGCCTATGCCGGTTTGAAGGCAGCCAAGTTTATACACAATAAGCTGCTCAATAAGGTTATGTATGTAAGTAATCCGATTTCAAAATAATGAAGATATTAAGGCTTAAGGAGTGGGTGCACAAGCAGCTTAAAGTCTTCGCAAGACATATTTTGTGGCATATCATAAAGGAATGCCAGACCCGCACTCTAATCTTGAGGTCGCATTTTCTTATAATTTTGCATTAATATGTCTAGCCCTGATGCCATGCGGCTTATGTACCCACACGGTTCGAAAACAAATTATTGCAGCATTTTGCTACAGATTCTATGAAAGAGTTTCAGATTTAAATTTCCCTTCCCCCCCTCTTTCTCCATCTCTCTTTTTTTGCAGGCCAAATTCAGTTTCTTTGATGTCACATCGGTGGGACGTATTCTGAATCGTTTCTCCTCAGATACCTATACCGTGGATGATTCCCTACCATTCATTCTGAATATTTTACTCGCTCAAGTTGTGGGACTTGTGGGTGCAATAGTCATTAGTCTCTATGCCATGCCTTGGTTGGGTATAATCATTGTGCCCATGGTCCCAATATATTTAAGTTTACAACATCGCTATCGACATGCATCACGTGATATAAAACGACTGTCCAGCAATGCTTTATCGCCTCTCTACACCCACTTCACAGAAACTTTACAGGGTTTAAACACCATACGAACAATGCGTGCCAGTTCTAGATTCCAAAGGGATTTCCATGCCAAGTTGGAGGAGAGCATTAAGGCCCAGCTAACATCGTCGGCAGCCCAGAATTGGCTTAGCATGCGTTTACAGCTGTTGGGCGCCGTATTGGTGGGTGGTGCCGGTATTTTGGCTGCGGTAACCTCCGCCCATGCAAGTAACCCCGGCCTGGTGGGCTTGGCAATCTCCTATGCTTTAAGTGTCACCCATATTTTGGGTGGTGTCCTCAATGCTGTGGCTGAAACGGAACAGGAATTGGTGGCCGTGGAACGTATTGAGCAATATTTGAATATTGAAGGAGAAGAAAATTCGGAAGGCACCATAAATCCACCATTTGGTTGGCCTGCCCAGGGATCCATAGATTTTCGAAAAGTTGAATTACGCTACCGAGAACATTTGGCACCTGCCTTACACGATATATCCTTCAAAACCGAAGCCTTTGAACGTTTAGCCATTGTGGGCCGTACAGGCGCAGGGAAATCTTCAATATTGGCCGCCTTAATACGCGTGGCACCCATAACAAGGGGTGAAATTCTCTTAGACTGTGTTAATTTAAAAACTTTGTCTCTCCACACTCTGCGAGATCGCATTGGCATCATACCGCAGGAACCATTCCTTTTCGAGGGCACCGTAAGAGAAAATCTTGATCCACGTGGAGCTCACTATGACTCGGAAATTTGGCATGCAATTACCAATTGCAATGCCGTCACCTGTTTGGTACAATCAATGGGTGGTTTGGATGGCAAACTGGAGCGGGGTGGCATCAATCTATCGGCTGGACAAAAACAATTACTGTGTCTAGCTCGAGCCCTACTAAAAAATTCCAAAGTCGTATGCATAGATGAGGGAACCTCCAATTTAGATGAAGATTCTGAATTTGCCATGCATCAAGCCATCAAATCATCCTTTAAGAGTTCAACAGTCATCTTCATTGCCCATCGGCTGCAAGGTTTGCACAGCATGGATCGCATTATTGTCATGGATCAGGGTCAGATACGTGAACAAGGTTCCCCCCAAACCCTAGCCCAAGATAGCTCATCGTTGTTCTATAGTATGCTACAAGCTCAACACATTGACAAGGAACAATTTTGCCAACGTGATAATTGAGCCAAAGACTTACTATTTTTAATAATTATTTTTAAATTTTATTATTTTTTTTTTAATTAATATCTAATACATGTATATGTACGTTTTATTTATGTTGTCACATTCAATGTTCCCCATGTAGAGAGTAATATTTTATTGTTAAAAATTTATAATTATAAAGGAAACAATGTATATAACAAATTCAATTAAAATAGTTGCAATTTTAAATTAATTTAAATGTTCACTTTTTTAAATAAACAATAACATATATATTAATAGTAATTTAAATTATTATATCATCTGTTTATTTTAGACGAACCGAAGAGGGAGAAACAAACCGCATGGTTATTTTCGAGACCTGCTATTATTAGAAGAGGAAAAAAAAGAACCTCAAATGATATATGCATGTAACAGCAAAAGTACAATTTTAGAGTCATTTAGGAATTCAAAGCTTGAATTCATTATAGATTTTTAGGGGGATTTCTGGGAATTTTAGGCCACAAAGCGTGAATTTTTCTAAATTTTGAGAAGCCCAGAAGTGGAGGCACAGGAAGTGGACTTTAAAGATTTTAGGAGGCTCCAAAAGGAAATTTTGAAAGGTTTTTAGGAGGGATTTTAAAAGATTTTGGGAGGTCTAAGGTGTAGATTTTAACCGGTTTTTAGGAGGCCCTAAAGCATGCGTTTTTAAAAGTCTTACTGGAGTAAGAGAGTAGATCTTTTAGGACTAAGGAGACCACAACTCATATATTTTTAAGCATTTTTAGGAGAATCCAATTCGTGGACTATTTACGGGGAGGAGACCAAATTCATGGATTTTAAAAGATTTTAAGGATGTCCAAGGAGGGGAGTTTTAAAGGATTTTAGAAGACAACGAAACCTGGATTTGGAAGTAGTTTTTGAAAGGCCCAAAGTACGGATTTGCAAATATTTAAAGGGGACCAAAGCATGGATTTCGAAAGAAATTTAGTAGGTCCAAAACGTGGATTTTTAAAGACTTTTAGAAGGACACAAAAATGTGAATTTTATCAAATTTTCGGAGGCCAAAAGCGAAGATTTTTAAAAAGTTTCAGAAGGACACAAAAATTTGGATTTTTAAAGAATTTTAGAAGGACACAAAAATGTGGATTTCTTCAAATTTTTCGCAGGTTCAAAGCGAACATTTTTTAAGCTTTGGATTTTCGATTTTTAAGGTTTTTAGGAGAACCCAAATAGTGGTCTTTAAAAATACTTTCACGGGAAGGAGGACACAAACATGTGGATTTTTTCAATTTTTTTCTCAGGCCCAAAGCAAGGATTTTTAAAGCTTTTTAGAAGGAACCAAAACATGAATTTTTAAAGAGTTTAGAAGGACCAAAAACGTGGATTTGCAGGAAGCCTTTAAAGCATTTTAAAAGCTTGGATGTTTAAAGCATTTTAGAGATACCATAAGGTGGGTTTTTAAAGAGTTTTAGAAGGACCTCAAAACGTTGGTTTTTTAAAAGTTTTAGAAGGACCCCAAAACGTGTTTTTTATATTTGTAGGAGCCTCCAAAGCGTGAATTTTTCCAAATTTTTAGGAGGCTTCAAAGCGTGAATTTCTTAAGAGTTTTTGAAGCACCCAAAACGTGGATTTTAAATATTTGTAGCAGGCTCCAAAGCGTGGATTTATCCTAATTTTTAAGGGATAACAATCCTCATCTAAGGTTTTGGGGAAATTTTGTATTTTTAAACTAAGTAAAGATGATCCAAAAGGACGAGAGCCAATTTCCAAATTTTTAGTAGGTCCAAAGAAACGATTTTTAAAGCCTTTGTAAAGATTTTTAAAAGGTCCTATAGCTAGTGTGGATTTTTCTTATTTTTAAGAGGCCCCATAGCGTGGAGTCTTAATGTTGGGAGAGGGATCTTCATTCAAGGTTTTGGATTTTTAAATATTTTTGGGATTGGAGGAAGGCCCTTTAAAATTGGCAAGGATGGCCCAAAACATGGATTTTTTAAGATTTGTAGGAAGGCTTAGAGAAGGGGAATTTTTGAAGAATTTCAGAAGGCCCAACCAAAGCGTGGATTTTTAAAATATTTTTAGAAGGTTCGAATACGTGGATTTTTAAAATATGTTTAGAAGGTCCAAAAGCGTGGATTTATAAAATATTTTTTAGAAGGTCCGAAAGCGTAAATTTTTACCAATTTTAAGAAGGTTCGAAACGTGGATTTTTAACAATTTTAAGAAGGTCCGAAAGCCTGAATTTTCAAAATATGTTTAGTAGGTCCGAAAGCGTGAATTTATAAAATATTTTTTAGAAGGTCCGAAAGTGTGGATTTTTAGCAATTTTAAGAAGGTCCGAAAGCCTGAATTTTCAATATATGTTTAGAAGGTCCGAAAGCGTGAATTTATAAAATATTTTTTAGAAGGTCCGAAAGCATGGATTTTTAACAATTTGAAGAAGGTTCGAAGCGTGGATTTTTAACAATTTTAAGAAGGTCCGAGCGTGCATTTTTAGCATTTTTAAGAAGTTCGTATCTTCTTATTTTTAACAATTTTAAAAAGATCCCAACTCGCAAATCATTACTATATTTTAATGAATTTGAAAATTGTTATTCGAAGGCCTCAAAGCGTGCTTTTTCAAATCCTCAACCATAGTAGATATTAAGTTTTTCAATCCATTTGTAACACCTCGAAACATACATTTTAGACCCCACAAAGTATATATATATTCTTGATCAGCATAAAATTCTATGTCGATTTAGCGATGTCCGTTCGTCTGTCCGTCTGTGGAAATCACCCTAGCTCCCGAACGAATTGATAGATTGATACAATTTTACTCAAATGTATATTATGTCTGCAGGACTTTTCGTATTGAAAACGGGCCATGAAGGTCCACGTTTTGGTATAGCCCCCATATAACGGTACCTCCCGATATTCGGTATTTTAATGATTTTAGCTACATTATTCACCGATTTTTTTTTAAATTCCGCATTTGAATACTGTGATGACTTATGACAAAAGTTACCTATGCAGGTTCATGTCGTCGTATAGACCCCAAAAATAACAGCTACATTCGGTATTTTTAAGATTTTAACAGAATTTTTAAAGGATTTTATTGTTTTTGAGAATTGCCAAATTCGTTCCAAATGGTGGAGGGTATTCAAATCTCGGCCCGGCCGAACTTACAGCTTTTTTACTTGCTTTAACAATTTTTAGAATTTACAGAGGAAACCTATTGTTATGATAAAGACAAAGAATTCAAAAAACTATTTTTTTCAAATTCAACAAAATGAAAATATATTTAAACATTGAAAAATCCAACTGAGCTACATTTACATATTAATAAATTTTTTAAGTTATACAGTGGAACATATAATTACATTTAAATAATTAAATACTCAAGCTCACACACTCTCACAACATACAAAAAGTTAAACAAAATTAAAAAATGTTTCAATTTGTTATTCAAAATATTTTTACAATCTATTTAATCAATTTCGGGGTATTTTTAATTATCTCTTAAAAACTAATTCATAACTTAAAATTTAATTACATAAAACAGATTAATTGCATACACTAGACATTCGTTTCTATTTTTTTAATTCAATTTTAATTTTCGAGACATTGAAAATTATTTAATTTTAAAATGCATTACAAACTGATGAACTATTGTGACAATAAACAGTGAAATTGAAAATAATATAAATTATAACAAATTTGTCATGGCATAAATTTTAAATTATAATTAAAAATGAAAATTTAACGATTTCTCTGAGTTAGTAGTTCTTTATTCGACTAAATGGCATCTTCTTTTGTTCTTCTGCTTACATATACTATTCAACAGAGGAATTTCAATTCTTTTGATCGGAAATTAATTTATTGAACTCTGTCTCAAACAAATTGATTGCTTTTTCAAATTTTTCATCATTGTTGGTCTAATAGAAGAAACAGGGAAATAAAATTTAGAAAAAGTTTGTAAAAATTATATTGTAGGAAATAAAATTTAGAAAAAGTTTGTAAAAATTATGACCGTTTTGGCCAATATTAAAAATAAAATGTTACAAATATCCATTTGATAACAAATTCCAAACTCATCATTGTGGACAATATAATAATAATAATTTGTGGTCCGGTGTCATCTTTTTAAGATGAATTCCGTCGGAGTTGCCAAGATTCAGTCCATTTGGGCTGATATTGACCATTTGGTGCACAATTAACCCGAAATCAGGTTAAGATACTTATAGGAGAGCTATATCTAAATTTGAACCATTCTCACCGATTTCAATAGGATCCGTCCTTAGGCCTAACAATTATTGTTTGGAAAATTTCATTTCAATCGGTTAAAAAATGGGATCTGTATTTTTTTTCTTAAGAGTTTTAGAAGGTAGGATTTTTAAGGTCCACTATCGTGATTTTAATTTTAGATTTATAGGAGGATCCAAACCGTTGACTTTTTCCATTTTTTTTATAAATTTTCAAAGCCTTGATATTACTAAATATGTATGAGACCCAAAGTGAGGATTTTTAATATTTTTAGGGGATCAAACATTTTCAAAAAATCTAAGACTTCTTGAAAATGTACTCATCCAAAGATTTATTGTGTTTTCCCATCAAAAAGCCGATCCATAGAATAATATATTTTGTTGAAATTCTTCTTTAAACCTCAAACAAGGTTCTTTGAGAATTTTCCGATACATGACTTGGCATTTAGAAAATAACTTTTAGAGTCCACGGTTTTTTGTCTTTCTGTTTCTAAAATTGTTCTAGTGACAGCTCATTATATTGTTTACAAGAGTACAAAAGTATGTTGGTGAGAATTTTTCAGAAAAAGAGTTATTCGTGATGATAGTGTGATTTCTTTCTTTATATTTGGCTGGAAAACCACAAGTGTCTATCGTTAGAGCACTCCAGCATTTAAATTTGAATAAATCTTTTGTGTCTCGTACCATCGCTCGTTACCGTGATAGTGGTAGCGTAGCCCGACGTCAAAGAAGTGGACGGAAGAAAACAGCAACAACAGCCGAAATGGTTTGAAAAGTAGTGAGGCGACTGGATCGAAATCCGCGTCTCAGTGGCCGAAAAATGGCTCGTGAGCTGAACATAGCGCAATTTTCCATTCGGCAAATATTAAAAAATGAGCTCGGGGTAAAGCCATTGAAATTGTAAAAAGTGCAAGAACTTACACTGCAACAGAAAGGAGATAGACTCAAAAGAGCTGAAGAGTTGCTTCACTTGACCGAAAGTGGTGAACTGCCGAATTTGGTTTTCTCCGATGAGAAAACATTCGTTGTCCAGCAGAGCATTTTGTAAACAAACAAAATGATCGTGATTACTTGCCTAAGAGGTCAGCTAATAATGTGCACCTTCGGTTGGCCACCAGAACCCAAGCGCCGGCCATGGTGATGGTGAGAGCCGGCCGATGGTCACTCTCTGCTCTTATTAATCGACCGTGGCATCAGAATAATTTCCGAATATTATCGCGAAAATATTCTGGAGGGTGTATTAAAGCATTGGGCACGCAAAGATTTTGGCCGCAGACCTTGGACATTCACCAACAATTCAATAAAATTTAAAAAAATATACAGGACTCAGCACCATCGCACTTAGCACGCGCCACCCAAGAATGGTTACAAAATGAGGTTCCTCGCTCCGTTTCCAGCGCACAATGGCCACCAAAATCTCCGGATACTAATCCGTTAGACTATTGTGTCTGGAGTATTTTGAAAAGCAAGAGCTTCGCCGGAAATGGGAAAAAATACCGCTGCGTGTAACGGTTTCATTGCCCTAATTCGTGCCAAAGGTCACCAACAATTCAATAAAATTTAAAAATATATATAAAAAAATATGGCGTTTGACTTCGTTGCAGGTTTTTTTTTTATCTCGCCCTGTATACTTATGGTGGAGATAACAAATTAAAAACTCATCATTGTGGGCAATAAAACTAGGATAAAAAATAATAATTCTGATTTTTTATTTCAAGTTAAAAGTGAAGTTAATTAAAATTGGGTATATTAGATGAAGATCTAAGAAACTGTCGAGCACAACAAATATTTTAATGATTATAAACAGATCTACAATGGGACAACAAAGTGCAGTTTTAAAGATGTTAAGAAGGCATCTCAGATAGGATACACATCGTGAAATTATAAAGATTTTTAGGAGTTATCAAAGCGTGAACTTTAATAGAGTTCAAAGCGTGGATTTTAATAGAGTCTTAGAAGAGTTCAAAGCGTGGATTAAAAAATATGTCAGAAAGGCCCAAGGTGTGGATTATAAAAAGTTTCAGGGTGGTCCAAAGTGTGAATTTAAAAAAGTTTTAGAAGAACCCAAAGCTAGGATTGTTAAGTCGGTTAGAAGGACCGCAAACTTGGATTTTTAAGAATAATATGAGGCTTCAGAACGATGTTTTTTGTTTCAAAATGTTGATAGTTCTAAATCTTTGTGAGGCCACAAAGCGTGGGGTTCTGGGGAATCCAAAGTATGGTTATTTAACGATTTTAGATAGCCTCAATGAATTTTTATACCCTCAGCCATGTGGGTAAAAAGGGTCGATATTATTTTTCCTCTAAACAAATATAAACTACAGAATTTATTTCACTAAAAATGTATAAACTTTATTTTTAAGTCTTTTTCATTATTTTCCCATAGCATGTTTTTTAAAAATTAAATTTGCATAAAAAAGTACACGTTTGATACATATACACACATAAATAATTAAATTTTGTTAAAAACTGTATCTAGATTTATATATAGCGGTTTGTTTTAATATAAATATACAAACATACATTTAATGCAATGTAATTTTACAGAAAATCAATCAATCTTATTCGATTTCTTCGATTCTGCTTAAAATATGATGGTCACAGGAATGGAGCTAAACAAAACTACTACTAGGTTGATCCAAATAGGCACAACGGCCATTTGGACTGGAATTCGAGGAGGAAGCGGGCACAGCAACCACATTGACATTGGTCAATTGCGGCGATGCAATTGTGGGAGTTGGCAAAAGCGATGATGACGGGGACGGTGATAGGGGTGGTGGTGGCGTTGTTGGAGACATTTCTCTCAATTGCAAGATGTTGACACCCCAATTGGAGGGTTTAATGGGTAGAACTTTAGGTTTGGGTGGTAGCGGTGGTGGACCCTTAGAGGGTGTGGTGTTGTTATCAATTTTTTCCGAAGTCCTATCAATCGCGCTGTTGATGTCATTCTTTACGGGCGATGTATTGCTGCCCATCAATTTCGACTTATTACTAATGGAATGACGTGGTGCTGGCTGTGGCGGCCTTTCCACAAATGTGGGCGTTTCTTTTTGTTCATGTTCTTCTTCAGCCGTTGGCTTTTCTCCACTCGTATTGGATTTATTCAAATTGTCGTTGTATTTTAAAAATTCTGGTAATTCAAAATTTATCTCCGTACCCCTTTGATCTTCCAAACGTGCCAACTGGGCACGTTTTAAATCCTCCAATAGATCATCCTGCTTATCGGCCATCTTAAGAGGCAGAGGCAGCTTAATGCCGCCAGACTTTAATTTGTTTGGAATGATTTTATTATCAGAGGCCAGCAACGAAGAACTGTGTTGCGTGGCAGTCTTTTTTGTTTTGTTCGGGCCACGGTTAGCTGCTAGTGCTGCTGCTGCGGCTGCATTGGCATTCATAGATTCTCTTTTGGATTTCATTAATTTAAAAAATGACGATGACGACTCCGATGGACATTCTTCGGATTTCGTTGAGCATTGATCAAATTTTGGTTTCATTGCCGTTCCCGCGGACGCCGCCGCCTCCTCCTGATGTTGTTTGACTTGCATTAAATCACTGAAAACTTTATTTGTTATTTCATCCAATGTGATTTGGGTGGTTTGTAGGCCATCGGCAATGGTTTTCTTTGCAATGGTGGGTGCCTTACGATGATAGGGTACTTCCTTTTTATACACAACCTGAAGGCGTTGCTCATTAACGGCTGTCACCAGTTGGGTCAAATCCACTTTTGTTTGTGTCTCTCGCATCAGTACTTCAACGAGTTCCGGATTGATGTGATATCTTTGTAGAATGGGTCTAACCACTTCGTATAGCTGTTTGCGGGGTTTACTTTTCACCGATATCACCTTTGGTATTGGCAAATCCAATTTGAAGGCAACTCTTTGTTCGATCTCAACTTCTTTGTTGGCCAATTCCTTGGCCAGTGATTTTAGATCCACGGATTTGCTGGGAGGACCTTTGATGGAGACATCAAAGAATTGATAGCGTATACTACGTTTCTCCATTAAACGTTCCACCAATTCCGCCACAGTTTCTTGGCTCTTGATTTGCACCATGGTTGTGGCCCCATCGGGAAATTTAATACGGCACACATTGTTGTTGAACGAGAGGGCATCAAATGATGTCAGCGAAGAAGCAGAACCATGCATGACATTGGGTTTTAGACCATGGGCACCTTGGCTTTTGGTGGAGGAAATTGTCGGCTGTTCCTTGACACTGTCCTGGGCGATTTGATCACGAGACTTACTTCTGGTTTTGCGATGCCACGGCAATAGACTCCTACGTGGGCGCCCCTCTTCGACGTTGCTTGCCGATTTCTTTAACTTTAATGAGGCACTTTCTGAAAAATTTGTCGTCTTCAAAAGTTCATCCAAATTATCACCCGAATAGGGTAGAGATTTACCCTTTTTCTCTGCCTGTAGACATTGTTTGTAGAGTTCGGAACGCAGGAATCGTTGATAGCTATCGAATTTCATTAAATTGAAAATCTGCTTTTGGGCCGGGTGGAAAAGGTCGGGCCCGGCAATGCCCAGATTTCGTTCAACCATGCAACGGGCCTGGGAATCGACATTCACCGGTTCCATGGAACCACTTGACAAATGTTTTTTAAAAATTTCCAATGCCTGTTCACGCCGTTCGTTCTCCGACTCCAGATTGCGATAACGTTCACACGCGGTCCAAAAGTAAATATTTTCAGCGGCATATTCGAGTTTTAGAAATTCGGCAAAAGTCTTGAGGCCCGCCGGATCGGCAAGTAGCATCTCAATGGATGTACCCCAGGCAGTGGGACCCTTTTTCAGATTCGATTTTAAACTATCGGCAAGTTTTTTCTTAAAAGAGCTACGCTCACTACTGTTGCTCATCGATGCTGAGCGGCTGATACTGGGACTGGCGAATTGCTGGGATTGGGGTTGTCCATCGGTGGCATTATCTTGACTTGGTGCCGACAGATGTATGGTGTGTTTATCGGCTCGTGGTGTCCTCAGCGAGGTCTGTATCCAACCCCGCTCAAATGTCGACAAGGCATCGTTACATTCGATCCTTGACAAATCAGGAGTACTTGCTAGCTTGTTGAGGGAGCTATCATTGCCAGTGGCCGGCTCTTGTATGGAAATATTTTGTAAACTATTCGATGTGGTTATTTTTAGATTTAAGGATTTTCTCCTCTCTTCGCGAAGTACGGTGACATTATCGTGGGGTGTGGAGGTTTCAGATTTGGGGTTTCGTTGTAGAATCGTTGTTTTTAAATTATCCTCATTCTCCATTGAGGCTGTGTACAGCGATATGTCATCCATGGAGGCATAGCATTGCTGGAATGGCACAGCGGTTGTGAGATTATCTAAATTCTGCAGATTATCTTCCGATTCTTGTTCAATTAAATTTAGTACATCATCACATGATCGGGACACAGTCAAGGAACGTCCTGGACTATTGTAGCTGGCTTTAGTCTGTTCAGTAGCCGCCGCAATGTGCAATGCTGGGCTGGCCATATGTTTGCTCGACGAAGGTATTTCTTCTTGGGAGTTTATACTCTGTTCACATATATTCTGTGGACGTTTGGGTGAAACAATGGCATTGGCGTTGTTAGCACCAGGCACCACTCTCACAGCTGCTGCAGCATTGTGCACGGGAAAATCTACCAAGACAATGCGATCTGTGACATTGGAACAATCGTTGTTGTAGCCAATGCCAGAATCTGAATTTGATGTTGTTGTGGACACCTCACTGTGATTACTGGGCTGCGGAGAGTGAGCAATATTTTCATGATTATTACGACCATGTATGGTTGGATCATCGGATATTGAGCGTTGCGTTATCGGCGGTACAATCCGCATGGTGTACATGCTGCGTATGAGATTGACCACATATTCGGAATTGTTGGGAAACTCTAGGCATAAATTCGATATGGGATCTTTGGTACATTCTATGCAAAATTCTTGGGCTTTGGCTAAATGTTGTTGATGTTCACAGAGTTTGGTGTCCACCACAAAGACATGACATGAATTGGAAATGATAACATTGTTGTCCACACTAGAGGAGGTTCCCAGGGCCGGGGGTCTTCGATCATTCGCCTCGCCTGGGCCATTGACATTGTTAGCCCTAGCTTGATCACCACCGTGATGGTTGTTGGCATTATCCACCTGATCCTCTCCCTCCCCCCTCTCCTCCTCGTCGTCCTCATCATCAACATCATCCAATTGGGGACTATAAACAGCACTCGTTACCAAACCAAAGAAACGATTTTCACTCTCCGACGAAGAGCTAACATAATTCAAACGAGCCGATGGATATGTGGCCAAAATTTTACCATTATTCGCCTGGAGTTTTAGGCAATCGGGTAAGATGATCATGAGGACAACAGTGGGTTGGCGTTTTTCCTGTCGTAACTTTCGTATGCACGATCGTACCGTTTGTAATTTGCTGCTGTTGGCGATTTGTTTGGGCATTTCTATGGTGCCCAGATATCCAACAATGGCTCGGTATTCCAAAGCAGCACTGGTGGGACCACGCATGACCAGGGCCCTAAAATTGGCCGTTGCCACAGCAGCCTGTTGTTGCAACAAATGGGATGGGCCACTGTGTACAGCTGCGGCGGGCACTTCGCTGGGCAACTTTTCATTCACTTTTCTCTTATTCGCAACTGCTGCAGCTTCCACGGATATCGATTTCATCAAAGGTTGTGGTAACTTTTTCCATAGCTGTGCCGTCGCAGCGCCGGATGATGTCCTCGGTGTTACATTCGCATCAAACGATTTCTTCTGTGGCAAATGCTGCCGCAATCGCTGTTGTTTTATTTTGTGATAGATATAACGTGGACGCGAGGGACCCATACTGGGCAACATTGGCATACCAGCCGCCACGGCGTTCTCTTCATCCGTACTATCCGAATAGTAATGTTCGGCAATTTGCATGCGAATGCTACCAAATGAATTGCCAATCAATTGAACCACTGTCTCGTGCGGCAGTTTGGAGACATTTAAACCGTTGACCGAAATTAAAAAATCTCCAGCACGTAGACCCGCCTGATCGGCCGGTGAATTGGCAATGATGCATGACAAACGACATGGCTGCTGGCCGGATATGGTAAAACCAAAACCATTATAACCACGTCGCACCTCAACTGTTCGGGTACCATAATTGGGCCGTTTCTTACGTCTGCGTTGAGTGGGTGGCTGGGCACTGTTGCTGGTGGTAGTGGTGGGGGGTGGTGCTTGTTGTAATGGAACAGAGGCGGTGATTGTTGTTGTGGCTGGCACTGCGGCCGGTGGGGTATTTGCTGAAGTCATTGTTGTTGTTGTTGCTGCAGCAGCTGTATGGGGATGATGGTGATGCATTGCTTATATTTGGGGGGGAGAGGTCTTCAATTTTTTCAGGATCACAGAAATCTTTCCTTTACTCCGGCTAGTAATTGGAACTAGTGGCCCACAGGTGTAGCCATTATAATCTTGAAAAAATCGTATCTGGATGTGCAAACACAGTATTGAGTTATTTGCGCACACGCATATGTAGGCTTGTAATTATTATTAATTTGCTCATCTAAGCGTAGCAAAAGGTATTGACGAAGAAGATGGAAAACGATCTTGGTTTGGCCCTGGTATGGTTATTGCGGTTGGTTGTTGGTCGAGTGGTTTTCTTTTGTTTTTTTCTATTTCTTAATATATGTATATATGGTCTGCTGTTTGTAATCCAGTTTTAATGCATTTTCTCAATAGCTGTTGGTGGGTATTGCGAAAATATTCGATCGATGCCAATTAGATGTTTTTTGTTTTAATTGTTGATCACTGCTTGTTTTTTGTTAAATTTACAAATTGTATTTGAATATTATTCGAGTTTCAATCTATATTACACGCTTATTTTCGGAGGAGAGTTATATTTTTAATTATCTTTAAGAGCGAACAAAATATGCCAACGCCTCAACGCCTCTAATTGTTATTTTTGTTTTTTTTTTTATTATAGTCAAACGAACAATTTTATCCAATAATGATTACTAAATACCGATTACTTGGATATCGTGAAGATCATTTAAAAGGGATGCGGAGGAATGATGGAAATTGTGATAAGTAGTTGAAAACGCTATTAACTTTGAAATAATCTTGAAAAAATTGATGCCTATCATTTAAGGCTTTTGCTGAATTTAGGGGCTATGCTCAAATTGTCCTCAATTTTTTTTATCACAGGTTGGTATTTTTTAACTTGATTCGGCTAAAAAACCCCTGTTTTGATCTTTATACCCTAGACCACATAGTGGTAAGGGTATTATGTCTTTATGCATTTGTTTGTAACATGGAGAAGGAAGTGAGATGGACCCATAGTTAGATCTTCATAGTATCATTTTCTGAGTGGTCTGTCCGTCCGTGTGTCCATGTATTCTTGTGGACAAAAAACAGGTCGCATCTATTATTCGATTGAGATGAAAATTTGCAAACAATATTTGGACGAATCCTATTGAAATTAATAGAATCGGTTCAAATTTAGATATAGCTCCCATATACAGGGTGAGATGAAAAAACTACAACCAATTTCAGACTGCTGTCACTTCTAAGCTACTCGTCCGGCTGCTGTTAAAATTGTTCCAGTGACAGCTCATTTTTGGTGGGAATTTTCCAGAAAAAAAGTTATTCGTGATGAAATTCAAGCGTTCTTTATATTTGGCTGGAAAACCACAAGTGGCTATCGTTAGAGCACTCCAGCATTTAAATGTGAATAAATCTTCTGTGTCTCATACCATCGCTCGTTACTGTGTTACTGGTAGCGTAGCGCGACGTCAAGGAAATGGACGGAAGAAAATAGCAAGATCAGCAGAAATGGTTCGAGAAGTGAAGAAGCGACTTGATCGAAACCCGCGTCGCAGTAGCCGCAAAATGCCTCGTGAGCTAAACATATCTCAATATTATATTCGGCAAACATTGAAAAATTAGGTCAGGGTAAAGCCATTGAATGAATTGAATTCCAAGAAAAGAAAATAGACTCAAAAGAGCTAAAAAGTTGCTTCGCTTGGCCGAAAGCGGTGAACTGCCGAATTCGGTTTCCTCCGATGAGAAAATATCGTATTTACTTGCCAAAGTTGTCAGCTGAAATTGTGCACCTTCGGTTGGCCACCAGAACTCAAGTGCCGGCCATGGTGATGGTGTGGGACGCCATAGCAGCCGATGGTCGCTCTACGCTGGTATTAATCGACCGTGGCATCAGAATAAATGCCGAATATTAACGCGAAAATATTCTGGAGAGTGTATTAAAGCCTTGGGCACGCAAACATTTTAGCCGCAGACCTTGGACATTCCAGCAGGACTCAGCACCATCGCACTCAGCACGCGCCATCCAAGAATGGTTACAAAATGAGGTTCCTCGCTTTATTTCCAGCGCACAATGGCCACCAAAATCTCCGGATACCAATCCATTGGACTATTGTGTCTGGATACTTAAATGTCGATCACCTCAAGCAAATACTTCGCCGGAAATGGGCCAATTTACCGCAGAGCAACATTTGGGCAGCGTGTGACGGTTTCATTGGCCGTTTGAAGGCCATAATTAGTGCCAAAGGTGAAAATGATAGCACACTTTGTGGTATTTTTGGAAATGCTTGAGCATTGGGTATAATTTAGCAAATTTTGACACGAATGTCAATTTTTCCACATTTTAGGTGTTTTGTAAAAAATCTGGTTTCAAAAAGATCGAATACTGTGCTATAACTGCCCATCACCCGACCTCTCGTTACATAGGTATTTTTTCAAATAATATCTACATATATTTGTTAGTCAGATACCAAATACCAAAATTAGTCAAATATCCCAATATCTGAATGGAGAATCTAGCTGTAGAAAATATGCTACAGGGTACCTATTATTTTCTGCTGAAGTCCTCTATAATTTGTGTACGGCTTTGTATTTGGATGTTAATGGGAAAAAGTTCTTCTATTATCCAATTTTCGAATTTTTGAATGATTTTGAATGATTTTTATGAAGTCTTGTTAGAATCAAGCCAAGTTCCTATTAGGTAGTCAAGTCCCTATTCCTGCAGAAAGACCAGCAGTTTTTTGAGACAGTAAGTTTTGTTATAATTTAAAGTTCCATTATTATTTAAGTAAAGCTTTCAATTTAGATACCAAAATTTGACAAATGTTTATTCACGTGAGTTTCCAAACAGACCATTCTAAAATTACTCATAGACATAACTATTATATTTATAAACAATATAAAATAATCTCTTCAGCTTACCTTCATATATTCCTTGCCAGTGTTTATGAGCCTCATGACATCATTAACCAATTCTGCGACGTTTTCATAACCATTTTTGTCATCTTCACATTTCAAAATAATAGAGCGTACATCGTTAATTTCATGTTGATATTTGCTAATGAAATCTGGAAACTAAATTTAAAATTAAAATAAAAATTAGTTCTTGTTATTTGTTAACTATTAAAGACGCTATTCTGAATACCATAGCCCTTCAATTCTAAATAATAACTTACATAATTTTTGGTAAATTGAAATTTAAAAAACATATCAGCATTTTGCATTGTCATAATGCGATCTTTCATGGCATTTATCTTTGAAACATTTCCAATATTTTTCCTCATTTTATTCTCCACATTGTGGCACTGTACTTGTATGCCTGCCAAATTTTGTTGTAATACATGCAAATCGTAATTCAAAGCATTATTTTCTTTCGATTTCATAAATTCCATGGTGGTCAGAGGAGTATCCGATAATTGGTAATTGCCATTTGATGTTGGACAACATTCCATGATTTGATTATTGAAATAATTTTGAAATGGTACAACCGTCTCGTTTGCTGTCATATTCTTAGTTGGAAGTTGCGATGCAGACAATGTTAAACCATCGGCATTAATATTACTGTTATTGACAATTAATGATGCGATCGGTTCACCGGCTATAAGTTCATCTTTTTTGATGGGATTATATGTGCCAGTTTTAAAGTATGTTCCATTTACCGTGGCCTGACGTTGACTATCTTCTGAATCTTCGACCATTGTGTAAATATAATTTCTATTTAAATAATTGTTGTTTTGATCCAGACTATCGTCCAACAAAATATTGGGTGTGGTGGACAAAAGTTTGATAGGGGAGTTACTGGTATTAAGTCCCCCCGCAGCTGCATCAGATTTTTGATAGGCATTCTTTTGTGATTGTACCAAATTATCCAAATTGACAAATGATTTGATAAGGCTTTCAATGAAATCCATGGTTGTATCTTGCCAGGCAGCAAATGCCAGGGCAAAATCTGGACTAAGAGCAGCTTTTACCTTGTTTAGACCCTCCGGAGTATTGTAAACATAGCCCTTAATAATAATCCATGCATTTATGATGCGGGTAAATACAAAAATGAAATCTTTTACAGCCCATGCAATACCCTGTGAATTAATGTTTGGCAGCACTCCGTCGGGACGTATTAAATCTTGTTTCAAACGAGCACAAAGGCTATCGATTTTCTTAAAACATGGACGATTGCGATGGGTTTTTGCCAAATTCTCTGCTATATCGCTTCCTCTGAGTGCTAGTCGTCTCAAGTCATTAAATCTAGCCTGAGAAAGATAGACCCCATTTGCAGTGGCTTGACAGCCGTTGGATCTGGCAAAATTTAGGCATGCAGCATCACCACCAGCGGCACAATCACTGGAGTTATTGAAAATTGGAAAAATATTTAAGAATTTGTAAAGCATTTTAAAATAATTAACATAAAACTAATCTATTAGTAACTCCATTAATTGGCATTAAACGAAGATTTCAGACTTACTCAGGATGTAAAGGTATGGGTGAATTACACAAGGAGCCATTGGAATCTAAAACGAAATATTTAAATAGTTCCAATAATTAGTCCGGGAAACCAAGCCCAACTAACTTTACCTTTATTATCTTTCTCGCTCTTGTGACAAGATGAGTAGCAAAATTTTCCCAAATTTAATTTAGTTGCCGAATCATAAATCGAATTCAAATTCATTGGTGAGTTTTGGGAAACACATTGAATTTGTATGTTTATCTTATTGGAATCATTCTGATTGCCTGATGTGCCATTGGAATTGGCACTACGGTCTTGTTGTGGCATTTGAATCTGTTGACTTGCTGCCGATGACGACGAGGTGCTTGAAAAACTTGAAAGTGGTGAACCAATATTGCACTGTTGTGTGCCCTGAAAAAATGGAACGGTTGTTGCTGCATACGGGCCTGCAGCTATTGCAGCGTATGGCACTGCCACATTAGCTGGTATCATCGGTGAGAGGAAAGTGGTTGTACCAAATGGCCAAAGAGCATGCATTTCTAAGAATATTATTTGCATGGATTTGAATAATTTTGCATAACCATGTGGCTTTTAAGACTTACCTTGACTCATAATTGGCAATCTAATATGGTCCATGACTTGATGATTCTGATTCAGTGGTGTGGAGCTATTCAACACAGGGGCAGCGTTACACAAATTGTTTTTGCTGTTGTTATATTCACTTCCTTCGCTGTTCACAATGAAATGTGAGGGATATTTCTGTTGTTTTTGGTTGGAGTCTTGACTTAGAGTTGCATTTGATGTCTTTAATTCCGAATGCTGTCCAGAAAACGCACATCCGTTACCCAATATTTTCCGAACTTGGTAAAAGAAAATTAATTGGAAATTAAAAAAAATACATGTGTATGTATTTGTAAAACAACAATTTCAAAGCCTACTCTTCCTTCACTAATTAAACAAAGGTATTTCATTCTAACCTAAAATTATTTGGTTTACAATGCTATGGAAAATTAGCCTTTATTCGTTTCCAAAAAGAAAAACAATACTTACATTTAATATTTCCATTTTGATGAGCCATATTAATTTTATTCAAGTGAAGAATATGTTCACAATCATTTGCGCCAAACCAATAGGAAAGGGAAATTACCTGTTGTTGTGTTAGTGCAATGCAACCTTGCTTTGTTGCTCTTTTACTTTAACAATGAATTTGAGCGCAATTGTTTATTTCCTTCCCATTCTGCTTATTGGATATTATGAATATTATTAATTAAAATTCACTGTCCACTAATAAAAGGGGAACTTATTTTGCTTAAATAAAACAAAATGTCTTTAAATTGCATACAAAAAAATATATAAAAAGCAACTTAAAAAATATTGACGTCTTTTTTTGAAGAGAGCGAATTGTTTTTTCGTTTTTTTCTCTTCCTTGTTGCGAATGATCACGGATGTTGGCCGATGCAGTGTTGTATGAATTTGGTCGTTATCAGTATTCTTACTGGTTTGTTAACAATGCATAGTGAGTGGCTGATATGGCAGGGGGAAATATGCACATGCATATGGTATACTTAAACAACTTTTGTCTGCCATATTATTAAATGAATGCATTAATGTTATAATTTTTTATTATATAAAAAATCTTGTTTTCATTTTGACTCATTGAGTCAAAGCTGGAATTATTTTGAAATTGAAGTTGTTTTCAAAGACGGTGAAAGGTGTTCTTAAAAAAATTTTAATTTTATCAAACTTTCTTGCAGTTGATGAATGCTAGTTTTGGGAGGACATTTATCCAAGGTCAAATAACACCTCAATCTTACTAAAATCATGTTACAAATACATGTGAAAATCGAACAAGGTCCAGATTTAGACTAGGCGAGATTACTTGAGGCAATTTTAATGGTTCCGTTTTAAAATTACCTATCGCCTTTGGTGTAAAATATTTTGTGACTAGATTAATAAAAACATTAATGAATCAATTTAATAATATAACAGACATATCATATATGTGCATATTTCCCTCAACCATATTAGCCGCTCACTATGCAATGAGAATACTGACTTCCACCAAATTCATACAACACTGAATCCACTAACATCCGTAATCATTCACAATAAAGACGAAATAGAAACAGATAAAACAACAGAACAATACGCTCTCTTCGAAAATAAAGACGCCAATATTTTTCGAGTTATTTTTTTATAATTTGTTTTGTGTGCAATTAGATTACTTTTGGTTTTATTCAATCAAAAAACTACCACTTTTTTAGCCAACAGTGAATAAAAAATTCTTTTTCTATCTAATAAGCAGCAATGAACAATTGGAAGGAATAATGCAATTGCGCTCAAATTCATTCATTAGTGAAATGGCAACAAAGCAAGGCCAAAAAACAAACTGACATAATTTCCCTTTCCTTTTGTTTTGGCGCAAATAATTGTGAACACATTTTAATGTTAAATATAATTAATATGGTTTAGAAAAATGGAAATATTAAATGTAAGTAATATTATTCTTATTGGAATTCAGTAAAAAATTAGTTTCTTTTCCCAGGTTGTACACCAAAGATTTTAGGTTAGAATGAAATAACTTTGGTTAAGCAGTGAAATAACTAGGCCTTGATATTGTTGTGTTACAAATACATAAACACAACAACAACAATTATTTTATTAATTTCTAATTAATTTTCTTTTGCCAAGTTCGGAAAATATTAGGCAACGGATGTGCGAGTTCTGGGCAGTAGCCGGAATTAAAGATTTCAAATGCAACTATAAGTCAAGACTGCAACCAAAAACAACAGAAATATCCAACACATTTTATTGTGAACGGCAAAGGAAGTGAATGCAACAACAGTATTAATCCTGTGTTCAATATCTCCACACCACTGAAACAACATAAAATCGTGGACCATATTAGATTGTCAACTACGAGTCAAGGTAAGTATTAAAAATCATAAAAAGTAACTAAAAACTCTTCTAAAATCCATTCCAATTTTATTTTTAGAAATGCATGCTCTTTGGCCATTTAGTACTACCACTTTCTCTTACCAATGATACCAGTGGCGTAATGGCGCAATAGCCACAGGACCAAATGCAGCTAAAACTGTTCCAGATTTTTAATTTCGTCGTCATCGGCAGTAGTTCAACAAAAAGATCGTAGTGCCAATTCCAATGGAACATCAGGCAAACAGAATGATTCCAATAAGATAAACAAACAAATTCAATGTGTTTCCCAAAACTTACCAATCAATTTGAATTCGATTTATGATGCGAAAACCAATTTAAAAAGGGAAAGAGGAACCTCTTGTCATAAGGATGATAGAGATAATATAGGTAAGGTTAGTTTATAAATTTGGCTGATTATAGGAACTATTTAAATATTTCGTTATAGATTCCAATGGCTCCCTTCTTTTAGTACCAGTTATTGATAGATTAAATTTTTTATTAATTATTAGGAGGTACGTTTAATAGTTTACATATTCTTTACTATTTTTTATATTATTTATATATAGTGATTGCGTCGCTGGCGGTTATGCTGCATGCCTAAATTTTGCCACATCCTACGGCTATCAAACCATTGCAAATGGAGTATATTCGTCTCAGGCTGGATTTAATGATTTAAGACGTCTACTGCTTAGAGGAAGCTATATAGCGCACAATTTGGCAAAAACTCGTCGCAATCGTCCATGTTTTAAGAAAAGACGATGGCCCTTGTGGTCGTTTGAAATAAGATATGAATATGTCCCAGAATTACTTAATGATGATAGGGATCTTATGGCTAGTTCGCTTAAAGGTAAGTAAAAAGGAGTTATGTATTTGTTTTGCATGAAAATATAATGGGTATTTCTGAAAGTAATTTTAGAACAGGTTAGTAGTTGAATTGAAGGATAGCAGAACATTTCCCATTGACATCTAAAATCAAAGCCCTATACAAATTGCAGAGAAATTTAGCACAAAATAATATAAAGAACCTGGTTCTAGTAAGAATTCGTAAAAATTATTCAAATTCGGTAGATTCGAAAATTCAGGTTACTTATTTAACTCGACCTAGTATATATCTTACCAAAACATGTTTTAAGCATTCAATGCTTTATAATTTTGTATGTATATATTTTTGATGAAATTCATTCGATATTTTGTGCATTATTTGCAGTGTGATTTACGTTTTTTTTTTCTTTACAAAAATTCATATATAAGTACATTAACATATATTGAATATACATATATGTATATATGTGTATGTATATATCTATAGATATATTTTAAATAACATTTTATCACAATCCAAAAACTAAAGAATAGTTAGAACTATATAGAAAAAATATCGCCACTCTAGGGGTTTACAAATGCAATCGAGACGTAATAATTCGATTTATAATAATTTCATAACTCTAATATTATAAAAGAGAATAGTTCACACTTCTATCGTTGTACCCCTGGATGGCTATATATAATTTCTATAAATATATCTAAGACCTAGGAAAAAACCCTCAATTAACTATTTATTTTATTTTTCTTTGAGATACTTACATAATCTAAACAATAACTTTAGAGAATAGAAAAAGAAACACCATTTCATATTAGCTAAACAATAAATTAACAGCCACGTTCGAATGAAAAATAAATTTGTTTGCAAAATGCGCTGGCAAATACAAAATCATAATGGGGTTTATATGTAATCCAATTCTAGATTTGGCCACCATTCTGGACCGCATAAATATAAGGCACTTCTAATTATAATGACCTGAGTACTCGAGTGATTTTTTTAGGTTATAAATAACAAATTTTCAAAAGTGTAAACAAGTTCTCGTAATAACAAATCGCACAATCACATTGGATTTTAAATCGATTTTTGCAGTCGAATTTCATTCGCCGAATTTGTTCGCAAAAAAGATGGAACTTATATACTATTTAACAACTAGTCTTACATCTAAATACATACAAATGTATATGAAAATTTATATAACAAAGTATATGTATATGTCTACTAATACTAATTTGTGGCATTGTTCTTGTGCGGCCTTTGTAGATCGTCACACACAACAAGTAGATTTTTCCAATGTAAAACAGCTCTCGTCCTATTGACGTTTAACTTGCCGTTTTAACGTAAAATAGGCACATGATTTGTAGATGACCAGCTGTAGTACCAAGATACCCAAATTCATGCCATAATTGCCATTTTCCATGCCAAAACTTTTCAGGACAGTTGCAGCGTTTCTGGAATGGAAAGCAGAAGTAATTTTTAATTATTATTATATAGTGATGGTACTTCAAAAATAAATAAAAAATAGATATTCTCCGTTTCATAAGCAACAGACAAGGCCAGAAAGGCCTTCCTTAGAAGCCGAGGCGAACTACTAAACTTTGGACTGGAAATTCACTTCCGTTTCCCACAAATCAAGCAGCACTTTGGCGCCAGCCTGTAGCACCTTGTTGGTCAGTTTGTGGTTAGCTATGCGTCTCCACTGTGGTATGCGAATACGAGTGCAACGCAACGGAAAAGTATTCAGACCTGCCACACCTGGCCTGACCTACGCTGGGAGGAAATCCCAGCCGGTTTGGTGGAAAAAGCGAGAAGATCATAAAATACTCTCTAAGGATGCTAAGTCCATAGGCAGTATAAAGTTCGACCTCCAATCAGGCACCGACTTCCCCCCGGGACAATAAGTACCAAGGAGAGTTGAAGAAGGCTAAAAATTACAACAAAAAACTTACTTGAAATGACAATATAGAACATCATCCGGGCATATGGTGTCTTGTCGATTATTTGAATACATGGCCAATACCATATTTTCCAGGCCGTAACGTATGGGTGATACATACGATATCATTCGCATAAAATCGGACATGTGTGTCAGCAATATCAAGAATCCAGAGAAGATCATCATGAAACATGTGGCAACAGCTCCCACAAAGGTACCGTTCTGAAAAGAAATAAAAAAATAATTAAATTATTTATATACATTTATAATTAATGTAGCCTAGTAGATAGTGGAAAGACCAGTAGTTATACTGGGTAGCCAAGGGGTCTGGGGTAGAGTTTCGGTTAAATACCCGAATGATCCTCAGGCTGACAATGTTACGTTTCGGTGTCCCTAAAGAAGCCAAACCTCTTTGCCGGTCCCACATAAAGAGGTCTTAATGCGGCCACGTGTGCTTAAGTTTTACAGGTCTGTCAGGCTTTCAGAGAACCGACTGCATTCTAAGAGAGCTGGTCTGGGTAGGGAAGAAATATTACTAGACCTTGTATACATATCACCATTGAATATCGGTCATTGATAAAACTGACCCTGAGCGAAAGACCATAATGGTCACTGGGTCTTGATGGAAACACTGAGCGGGGCTTTGCTTTCTCGCAAGAGGAAGTGTTACCCGCTGGAAATATGCCAAGTCCATCTGATGTGAAAAAGAGGTGAGGAGGTACTTCGTGTATTGCGGTTTAATTTGAGCTATTGCAAAGCAGCTGAGTTATTAGGAATAGCAATGGATATGGTTATGACCGTGTTGTTGCTTTTATAGGCCGTTAAAGGTTGATATTTTCTCAAGGATCAATGAAAAACAGTTCACTCATAAAATTATGTCTTTGTGTTACAAGAATTTCATCTGTCTTCGCAACTCCATATTCAATTTTTATACCCTACAACACATAGTAGTACTAACTTTTGAGGATCTTCATAAAATCACTTTCTGAGTCGATTTATGCATATCAAATACAGGTCACATTATCCGATTGAAATGAAATTTTCCAAATAATATTTGTTTCGCCCGAGGACGAATCCTGTTAAAATTGCTGAGAATCGGTTTAAATTTAGATATTGCTCCCATATATCTTCAACCGATTTCGGGTTAATTGTGCACCAAATGACCAATATCAGTCCAAATGACCCTAATTTTGGCAATTCCGACTGAATTCAGCCTAAAAGCAAGTGCTTAAAATTTGATGAAAATCTGTTTAGATATAGCTATAGCTCCCATATATATATTTTTCATCCGATTTTGTGTTTAAGTCCCTCACATTCGTAATATGTACTCCACAAGAATGATATTTGGTACCAGATACTAGATACAGCCCCGAAATACCTCTGCCAAATTTTATCAAGATCGGCTCAGATTTGGATATAGCTCCCATATATATTTTCAACCGATTTTAAATGAATTGTACACCAAATGGCCAACATCAGTCCAAATGACCTAAATTTTGGCACATCCGACCGAATTCAGTCTAGAAGCAAGTACCGCAAATATGGTGAAAATCGGTTCAGATATAGCATTGGCTCCCATATATATGTTTTATCCGATTTCGTGTTTCAGTCCCTCACATTCGTAATATGCACTCCACAAGAATGATATTTGGTACCAGATATCTTATAGAGCTCGGAAATACCTTTGCAAATTTTATCGAGATCGGCTCAGATTTGGATATAGCTCCCATATATATCTTCAACCGATTTTGGGCTAATTGTGCACCAAATGGCCAATACCAGTCCAAATGACCTGAATTTTGGCTTGGAAATACCTTTGCCAAATTTTATCAAGATCAGCTCAGATCTGGATATAGCTCCCATATATATCCTTAATTCGATTTCAGGTTTATTGTGCAAATAATGGCTAATATCAGCTAAAATGGAGTGAATTTCGGGACTTACGATTCCATTCAGATATATTTTTTTGTTACCGGAGCTCTACTAAGCATGCATAGTAGCGTAGGGTATCATATAGTCGGCCCCACCCGACTTTTAATTTTTTTCTTATTGGTCTTTACTGAAATTACTTACCACAGGATTCAATATTGTTCCCAAAAATATACCCAAGCCATCGGCACATATTGTAAGCATCATGCTTGTCAGGATCATTTTGACAAAACGATCCACTTCCAGGGGCTGGTCGGTCATTAAATATGTAATTGTCATATACACGGTGGATAAGATGATCTACAAAAAATAAAAGATTAAAATTTATATTGGAACTTCTTAAAAAGAGGTTAGCAGATAAATAATGCTTACATGAACTGGCGTTGAGGTTATCAGTGAGGCCAAATAAAATGTTCTTAGTTTGTACCAGTTATTAAACGATTCCTTCTTGATGATGGCAATTTCTTGGGGAACTAGAAAAAATCGGAAGGACACAAATGAAAATCCGAAACTCAATTTAAAAGAATTTAAATATCAATCCTACATCTCAAAACTCCCGGCATTATGGTGGTGTACCACAGATAGAGCGTGTGAACCAAATAAGAACCAAAATTCGATAGTTGTTTGTCGGCATTTGATCCGGAATCGCCGAAAAGAAGACCAATGATAATGGCGCATAAGATGTGCATAAGAAGTTTGATGTGGGTCAGAGACTATTAAATAAAGAATAATTAATTTAAATTTACTTATCTTCCAAATTTTGGCAAAACTTACCCAATCCCGAAAGATTTGAACATGACAACGACCGATCAACAGCCATAGACGCATCCATTCCGGTGGTGGATACAAGTGACTACTGTTGTTACTAAACGTTTCCTGGGCATGTAAAACTTTGCCATTGCTGGTAATTCCCAAATTGGCCTCAACAATTTTATCACTGGCCATAATTGCAGGCCGGCTGCGATTATAGTCGTGACGCCATTCCGGTTTTTGGGCCGCCTCGGCCAGGGCCATTGTATAGTCACCATAATCACCGTTGACACATTCAAGCACTGTAACATAAATAACAATTTTAATGATTTTGTGAAATTCTATGTTCCCGGGTATACTTACAAAAATCGGCAGGATTATGATAGGGAGGACATTCCAAACCAATTGATTTAAAATAGTCCACCGTTCGATCTGGTGTTCCCTGATAGGTGCAATAGCCCTGACTCATCACATAGATTTGATTGAAAAGATTGTAAATGTTCGAGGACGGCTGATGGATGGTACAGACAATTGTGCGACCGTGACTGGCCAGTTTCTGTAGAAGTTTAATGGTGTCAAAGGAACTGGAACTGTCAAGACCTCTGTAAGTGAGAGAAAAGTAAAAATGATATAATGTAATTATAGAAACGTATTTATTATTCTATTTGGATAAGAAATGATTATTTAATTTGTAGAAGGAGATTACATGATATTCTTCATGAGAAGACCTATTGGATCTTTTGGTATTCCATGAGAAGAACATTTGATCTCTTGGACTTCTATCGGAAGTCCTTTTGGCCTTCTATGGGAAGACATTTTGAACCTCCATGAGAAGACCTTTTGGACTTCTCTCAGAAGACTTTTGCATTTCTATGACAAGACCTTTTGGACTTCCATGACAAGTCCTTTGGCCTTCTATGAGAAGACCTTTAGGTTTTCTATGAGAAGACCTTTAGGATTTCCAAGAGGAGACCTTTTTGACTTCTATGAGAAGACGTTTTGGTCTTCTATGAGAAGACGTTTTGGTCTTCTATGAGAAGACCTTTTGGTCTTCTATGGGAAGACCTTTTGATCCTCTATGAGAAGACCTTTTGGTCTTCTATGAGAAGACCTTTTGGTCTTTTATGAGAAGACCTTTTGGCTTATATGAGAAGATCTTTTAGACTTCCATGAGAACATCTTTTGGACTTCCATGTGAAGACCTTTTAGTCTTCTATGAGCAGACTTGTGGTCTTCTATGAGCAGACTCTTGGTCTTATATAAGAAGACTTTTTGGACTTTGATGAGAAGACCTTTTGTTCTTCCATAAAAAGGCCTTATGGTGTTCCATGAGAAGAACTATTGGTCTTCTTTGGGAAGACAGTTTGGACTTCCATGAGAAGACTTTTTGGATTTCGATGAGAAGACCTTTTGGTCTGCTATGGGAAGAACTTGGGACTTTCTTGAGAATACTTTTTCGGCTTCTATAAGACCTTATAAGATCAGAAGGAATGTTCCGATCTCTACCATCTTTATAATAAATCTCGTGAGACATTGAGATGTACCAATTCTGAATGGAATCGGATGTTAATTTCACGTTTTATGAGCTTCATGGATATTCAAAATGTTGACCCTTTGTGGGGGAGGTACCAGAAGCAATGGACCGATACATTCCATCTTCACATCAGATCTTGTGTTAGTAGAAATATTGGAATTTTTGAAATTTGAAGAGAACCGGCTGCTAATTTCGGATTTCAATATAGTTTGGGTTATTCAAAACGTTGACACTTTGTGGGTGAGGTACCACAAGGAATGGTCCGATCTCTACCGCATTTATAACAGATTTTGTGTTGATAGAAATATTGAGATGTGCCAAGTCTGAATGGAATCGGATGTTAGTTGTGCGTTTTATAAGCTATAGGGCTATTCAAAATTTTGACCCTTTGTGGGGGAGGTACTCCAAGGAGGGAACCGATATATAACCAGACCTTGGGTTAATAAAAATATTGTGATGTGTGTAATCTGAAGACAATCAGACCATTATTTCACATTTTATAAGAGTTAAAACTATTTAAAATTTTGACCCTTTGTGGGGGAGGTACTTTATGGAGTGGATCGATATTGTCCATGTTCGTACCAGATCTAGCACTGATGCACATATTAGGATTATGCAAAGTTGGAGCAAAATCGGATTAACCTTTCTCTCTCCGTGCAGTAAAATATTTTCTTTGAAAATGTCGACCTTTTGTGGGGAAGGTACCAGAAGGAGTGGGCCGATATTACCCATTTCCGAGCTCGATCTAAGTTTGATAATAATATTACGATGTACCAAGTTTGGAATAAAATGGGATACTCCATTCGAGAGTTATGGTGCGCACCAGACAGACAGAAAGATGGTTGGACTGACATCGCTAGATCGACTCCAAATGTCCCGAAACGGATTTGGTTCAAAGAGACCTAGAGTCTAAAATCGTTATTTCGATGAGGCACGTTTTAGCCATATGGTTATGGCTGAGGGTATAAAGATCACATCCAAGAGCAATTAAAGCTCATATATCTTGGTCTATGGGATTGAAAGATTAATCAAAAGATAACATTCATTCTAAAATTTATCTTACCTTAGAGAATTTTTCCGACAGGTCATCGGCTGGTTTTTTCGTAAACGCACGAAACGTGAGCATTTTTTTCTGGCACATGTCACCGTCTGTCCTTTTTCGAAAACGCACAAATGAGTTTAGGTTGATTTAGTTCGAATTCGGTCTTTATTTTAAACATGGTCACACCCGGCCCTTTGTTCCTTTGCGAAAAAGGCAGGCATTGATAGATACCAGAAAAAAATTTCACATTTCGTGTTTTGTTTCACGGCAAAAACATTTTCAATTTGGTCCATGAATCGTCTTACAGACGAACAACGCTTGTAAATCATTAAACTTTTTAATGAAAATGCGTGATCTGTTAAGAAAGCTCATTGCGCGCTTCTTGTGTTGAGTGACCAAGCTTAATTTTGGATCAATGGGTACGTAAATAAGCAGAATTGTCAATTCTGGAGTGAAGACCATTCAGAGGCATAGCAAAAGTTAGCAATGAAGCCAGAAGAAGTCGAAATTTGTGTACGGTTTATGGTTTGATGGCAGCACTGGATCGTACTTCTTCAAAGATGAGGCGAATCGTAATGTAATTGTGAATGATGAGCGGCATCGTGAGACGTTATCCAACTATTTTGTCAAAAATGCAAGAGCTTGACTTGCAAGGCATGTGGTTCTAGATGCCACCAAGAACGCGTAACAGCCAATTTATTGAGGGGCGAGTTCGGCGAATATTTTATTTCAAGTTTGGGGCCGGTCAAAAATTTAGAATTTTTTGTGGGGCTATGTTAAAGCTCATGTCTATACAGATGGGTCCGCTTCAATTGACGCATTGGAAGACAACATTAAAGCATTTATTTTTGAGATACCGGCCGATATGTTGAAAAGATTATGCCAAAATTGGACTAAGCCGACGAACCATTTGAGGAGTAGTCCAGGTCAATATGTGCATAAAATAATCTTCAGACATTAAATTATATTTACTTTGAATCTTATGAATCCCATCCTCATTAAAGTTAAGCTATTAATGCTAACCAATTTCAAATAATTACAACGGAATTTTATTGAAGCCATTTTCGATTATAAAAAACTAACATAAATTGCTGACTTACGTAGTTCCATGTCCACTTAAAATTAAGAACTACTGTAAGTCTTGTTTTTCAGTTAATAGATAGTAATCAATGCCAAGTGGCTGTAAAATTCTTCAACAAGGTGTTACGACCAATCATAGGTTATTAACTGGCATTACATGGTTGGAAAAGTAAAAATATTCTTTATCAACAATTAAGCCAATTAAAGTTGTTATTTTGTTTAACAGATTGTTACAAAATTGACCTATCGGATTCTCAATTTATGAAACATCGGAAGGCTGATGTAAGAAACGATGTTCATATGATGAGGAAAAATCGCAAAGTTTCGTCTTTAAGTGGCCTTTTGCTCGGTTGGCCAAAAAAATATAAATCGTACCGGTCTTAAAAAAACTCAATAGACATTTTTGGAAAGCGAATTTTGTCGGAAAAATAAAGAGAGAAGTAAGAAGAGGAAAGAAGAAGAAGAATGAACACCTAATTCCAGGTGAACTGCATCAGAATAAATCCCCAAAGAACCAAGAACCAGTCTCGCCATGAAACTTCCCTAATTTAACCTCTTTTTACTTGCACATCCCTTAATATTTCAACTGACGTCCACATTTTCTCACTCGAAAAATCAAAGCATTATATTAAATAAAGCAGTTCCTTGTCTATACTAGGATAATATTTCCTAATGCTGTAAAACCTCCTTTTTTGTAACCTCTTACTTTTTTAAAACGTCGGAATATATATTTTAGACCCCACAAAGCATATACATTCTTGATCAGCACAAAATTTAACATCGCTAGTCCGTTCGTCTGTGGAAATCGCATTAGCTTCCGAACGAAATTAAGTAGTATGATAAAATTTTACTCAGATGCGTGTTTGGTCTGCAGAAAATTTGACAATGAGAATGGGATATACGAGTATGGGTCCACGTTTTGGTATAGCCCCCATACTATTATTTCGAGAGATTTTAACCCGAATTTGCTGTAAATTGGAAGCATGTCTTGCCATTAAGTAAGAAACATTTTTGCATAGAACTAAGTTTTGGTATAGTCCCCTCATAACTGTACCTCCAGATCTTCGATATTTTGATGATTTGTGTCACACTTTTGACCGGAAATGTTTCAAATTTTGAATTTAAAGTTCCTAAAAGGTACTACATCATCCTATGACAGAAAATTGCTCATACAGGTCCACGTCTTCGTATAGCCACCACATAACGGTACCCCCCGATATTCGGTATTTTGATGATTTTAGCGGCATTTTTCAGCCGAATTGTTTCAAATTTCGTATTCGAATGTAATGGGTACTAAAGGCTCAGACAAACAATTGTGTATTCAGGCCTACGTCTTCGTATAGCCACCATACAACGATACCTCCCGATAATCGGTATTTTGATGATCGTAAAATGAATTTACAGGTCCAGGACTTCGCATAGGTCCCAATATAAGGGCAACTTTCTATATTCGGAATTTGTATGATTTTAGAAGCAATTTTTAAAGGACTTTTTTTTGGAAAATTTGCATTCAGATAGAAAACTTTTTGAAACTTTTGAAACTTTTTTCAGAAAGGTCCCAAAGCTTTCATCTTGTTATGTTTATAACATAGAGAAGGAAACGACATAGACCCATAGTTCCTTTTGATTATCTCCATAGAATCACATTCTGAGTTGATTTATGCATGCAAATCATATTGTCCATTGTCCAAATGACCTGAATTTTGGTACATTCGACCGAATTCAGTTTGGCAGCAAGTATATCAAATTTGGTGAAAATCGGTTCAGATATAGCTATAGCTCCAATATATATTGTTCATCCGATTTGGTCTATAAGTCCCTCACATTCGTAATATGTGCTCCACAAGAATGATATTTGGTACAAGATATCAGATACAGCCCAGAAATACCTCTGCCAAATTTTATCAAGATCGGTTCAGATTTGGATATAGCTTCCATACATTTATATCTTCTACCGATTTCAGCTTAATTGGTCAATATCAGTCCAAATGACCTGAATTTTGGCACATCTGACCGAATTCAGTTTGGAAACAAGTATATCAAATTTGGTGAAAATCGGTTCAGATATAGCATTAGCTCTCATATAAATGTTTCATCCGATTTTGGTCTTTAAGTTCGTCACATTCGTAATATGCGTTCGACAACAATGATATTTGGTACCAGATATCTTATAGAGCTCGGAAATACATTTGCTAAATTTTATCAAGATCGGCTCAGATTTGGATATAGCTCCCATATATATTCATAACCCGATTTCAGGTGCATATAATGGCTAATATCAGTCCAAATGGACCGAATTTTGACTCATTTGACGGATTTCGACCTAAGAACAAGTGCTTCAAATTTTGGTTAAAATCGGTTCAGATATAGCTATAGCTCCTATATATATGTTTCATCCGATTTGGTGTTAAAGTTCCTCATATGGTTCATAGTTAGTATCATGGTAGAAAAATACAGGTCGATGCATCAACGCTTGGGAACATTGATATGTCAAAAATTTTAAATGTCTTTTCAAATATAAGTAGATTTTTATATGTTTTCTCATACGACGTCATTTGGAGGTTATTGTAATACGCGTTTTTCAACAATTTTTACAAATTAAAATAATTTTTCATTCAACATTTTCAATTCCAAAATTGGTTTGGCAGTTCATTGTCCCAGCAGCTAAGTCAATGCGTCTACCTATATTCTTCTACCATGGTTGTTATGATCTACTTCAGATAAATTCCCAATATAAACTTTTTTGTCACGGGAGCCCTACTAAATACGCATATAGTCGGCCCTGCCCGACTTTTGACCTTTCCTTACTGGTTTTTAGATATAACACTTTTTTATAGCTGCTCTAAAGGTCTTTAGACTTGCATTTTATAGATCTATAGTTAAAAAAATACTAAAACTACTTACGTTGTTGGCTCATCTAAAAATAATACGGCGGGATTATCAATTAGTTCCAAGGCAATTGATAAACGTTTTTTCTGGCCACCGGATAATCGGCTGCAACGTGTATGTTTTGTTTTTGTCAATTTCAAGGTTTCCAAAATTTGTTCAATCTATGGCAGAGAGATAAAATTAATACCGCATTTTTTATTTTGTAAGAATTTCTTAAAGCCTACCAATAATTTTCGATCTCGTATGGGCATCGATTCATTGGATATTTTTAAACTGGCCGCCAGCATCATGGTCTCTTCAACGGTAAACCAGGCATAGAAATGATCATCTTGCATTATGTAACAGCATAATTTTCGGGCCTTGGGAGCATCGCCAAACTTGATTGTGCCCGTAACACCGGTTTTCCTAAAATTTGAAATGGTGTCAAATATTATTTGAATTCCATTTAAGGTCCGTTGATGTGTGCACCACTTACGTGAATCCTGTTAAAATATTCATTAAACTAGATTTGCCAGCTCCGGAGGGTCCCATAATGGCTGTTAATTCGCCGGGTAAGAAAGTTCCCGATATACCTTTAAGTACAGTTTTCTTTTCTGAAAAGAAGGAAGAGAGAAAAATATATATTTAATTTAATATGATAAGCAAAGAACATTTCTAGGCATTGAGGGCCAGCAAATAGAACAGACGTTTACACTTGTTACTTATGTTTTTATAAAGCATGTTTAAATTGGCTATGTAAACACTCATATGTAAATGGAAAAAATTCTATAATTTGTTGTCGTAAATTAAATCTTATATCCTCATATGAAACTCAAAACAACTCAAAATAAGTCAGTAAAAAAGAATATTGACGTTACAAAGGTATCAGCGGAAAACAACTCTTTAACAATTAAACCAATAAACAATATAAGAAATGTAGATAATTACATTAATCGTTTAAGGTGGAGGAAAATAAGATGATGATGGCAAAAGTCACCCGCTGGCTTATTCATAAAAGAACGGGGACTTTAAAGTGACCTAATTTCAATTGTGGTCCGAAGTTGAATGAAGTCCGAAGTCCCTCCACCATACATAGTATGGAGGGTATATTAAGTTCGTACTTCCGTTTGTAACTCATCGAAAGAATAATAATATAACGGCTTTATTCGGTATTTTTAAGATTTCAACAACAACTTAAACGGATTTTATTCTGCTTAAAATTTCCAAATTCGTTCCAAATGGAGAAGGGTATTCAAATTTCGTCCCTGCCGAGCTTGTTGCTTTTTTACTTGTTTCATTTACAAATATCCCAACCGATGACCTTAAGGTGGGAATACACAAAACGCTTTTTTGACTGAATTATGTCATCGGCTGGCTTTTTCGCAGAAGAACATCGGAGTTTTGGGTTGACTAAGTTCGATTTTGGCCCTGTGCTCTATTGTTCTTTTCCGAAGAACCCATTCAAAAAGGCGTTTTATTTACTCTCACCTTTAGTCAGACAATAGTCATATTTTGTGTTTTCACCTTTAGCCTATGGATTTAAAACCTTAGAGGTCTTCTGTAAATGGAACACCTTAAATATGGCGATACATAATAGAATTTGCTTTTTGTAATAATTCATTGGCTGGCTATTTTCGTAAGAGAAGAAATGAGTTTTAGGTTGGCATAGACCAATTTCGCCCCATAATTTAAGCTAGGTCACACTATTTCCTCTGTTTTGTCGGCAATCGCCAGTGACTTATAGAAATAGAAAAAAATGTTTTATATATTCTCATCTTGAGAGATTTTCTATAAATAGAAGCCCATAGTTAGAATTTTATGGGCAAGGAACCTTTAAGGGATCTTCTTCGTTAACTTGCGAACATCAATCAACAGAATCGCGTTTTCTTCTAGGTGAGAATACATAAAAAGCCTTTTTTGACTGGTTGGTTTCTTCGTAAAAAAAAAACAAAGGAGTTTTAGGTTGACTTAGTTCCATTTTGGCCCCATAATCTATACTTGTTCACCCTACACTCTTTGTTCATTTACGAAGAAGCGTTGAAATGACTTAAACAAGTAAAACAAGTAATAAAGCTGTACCCTCCACCATTTGGTACAAATTTCACAATTTGCAAAAAAAAAAAAAAAAAAAAAAACAAGAAATCCGTTTAAAATTCTGTTAACATCTTAAAAATACCGAATGCCTATACGACGACGTAGACCTGCATAGGCAACTTTTGTCATAAGTTATTACAATATTTAAATGCGAAACTTGAAGAAAAATCTCTTTATAATGTAGCTAAAATCATCAAAATACCGAATATAGGGGGTACCGTTATATGGGGGCTATACGAAGGCGTGGACCTGCATAGACAATTTTCTGGCATGGGCTGAGGTATCCATTACGAACTTCACATGCGAAATTTGAAACAATCCCGGTAAATAATGTCGCTGAAATCATCAAAATACCGAATATCGGGGGATACGGTGTATGGGGGCTATATGTAGATGTGAACCTACATGGCTCATTTTTTGACTTAGGATGTAGTATCCATTACGAACTTCAAATACCAAATTTGGAACGATTCCGTTAAAAAATGTCGCTAAAATCATCAAAATACTGAATATAGGGGGGTACCGTTATATCGGGGCTATATGAAGACGTGGACCTACATGGCTCATTTTTTGACTTAGGATGTAGTATCCATTACGAACTTCAAATACCAAATTTGAAACGATTTCGGTAAATAATGTCGTTAAAATCATCAAATTACCGAATATCGGGGGGTACCGTTATATGGGGGCTATACGAAGACGTGGACCTGTACAGATAATTTTCTGTCTTAGGCTGTAGTATCCATTACGAACTACAAATGCCAAATTGGAAACAATTACGGTGAATAATGTCGCTAAAATCATCATAATACCGAATATCGGGAGGTACCGTTATATGGGGGCTATATGATAACTTGGACCTACATGGTCCATTTACGAACTTAACCTGCCTACTGGCAAAATATACATGTGTGCAAAATTTTAGCCTTCTATCTCAATTTGTTCGAAAGATAGCGTGATTACATCAGACAGACGGATAGACAGACACACAGGCAGACAGACGGACATGGCTAAATCGTTTTAAAATTTTACGCTGATCAAGAATATATACACTTTGTTGGGTCCGACATGAGTATTTCGAGGAGTTACAAACGGAATGACAAAATTAATATCCCCTCAATAGTATGGTGGAGGGTATAAAAACATTAAAGTGAAAATGCATAAAGCGATATGGGTAGCTTCTTCGTAGAGGAACAAAGTAGTTTTATTTTGACTAAGTTCGATTTTGGCTCTGGGCTCCTTTGTTCATTTCCGAAGAAACCAGCCGATGACTTAAGCCAGCCAAATAAGCTCTTTATGTATTCCCACCTTAAGTCCGGTCGTCCCCTTCATTATTCGGTGAATAAAAGTATCTGAATTCAAACGTGTTCCATGCTGTTAAACTTTGCAAAAAAACCAAATAGTGGGTTAGACCGTTATATGGGCACCATACCAAAAAGGAAACCTTTGTAGACCATTTTATACTTCAAGGATTGCCACCTACCAAATCTTTGAAATAATTTCGTGAATGAATGTGACTAGGATTATCAAAATACCGAATATAGATGGATATATTATATGTTAATACATTTTTAATTTATTTTCTATGTTTGTAATTAAATTTTTCATTTACTTTGAGACCATCAACAACTTTAATGTTTTGCTGAACATTGTTGACGGTACTTAATTTAATAATTACACTGTCATAGTTGCGGTTGGAATATTCGCATTGCATAATGGCTGATTAAAAAACGGTTTTACTGTGAAAATAATATGACAAAACGCTTAGTGCCAATCACTGAAACGTATTTTCCTGTTTTTTTTTTTTTTTATTATTTCATTAATATTTTTAGTCGTAAATTTGTGTAAATATTGCCTGTCATTCGATAATGAGTTACTACAACAGAATTCCCGTTGATTTTCGATTCAGTTCTATGTGTTGCATATATATATATATATATTTGAAATAATGAGCGGCATAGCGTTTAAAGTTCATCTAATTAAATATGCTTGCCATCACGTATGATGTGTAAATCAGCTATTTAAGGGAAATAAGGGAAAGGAAAAAAAGAAAAAAATTATTTGTTTTATAATTTAATTTAAAAAAATATTAGGTTCTTTGAAGCTGATTGGCCGATGTGGAAATGTTAAAAAATGTAAAGCATAATTAATTATTTTCCAGATAAGCATTGCAAAATTTGCTTTAAAGTAGGAAAAGTGTGAAGGATCGACAATACCGCGCCATGTTTCTAAAGAATTTAGCAACATTTTTTAGTATATATAAATGATCAAGAATATATATAAATACTTTGTTGGGTCTAAAAATATTATTTTGATGAGTTACAAATGGAATGACGGACTTTATATAGCCTCCATACTATGAATGGTGGATGGTATAAATATTGTGTATGCAGATCCACGTCTTGAAATATTGAACACTTTGGATTATAGTTTTAAAAAAAAAATTTGGATGAGAATACATAGTCTTAAGTCATCGGCTGGCTTATTCGGAAAAGAACAAAGGAGAGTAGGGCGAAAATCGAACTAAGTCAACCTAAATCTCCTTTGTCCCTCTACGTTTAAAGCGTTTTATGTATTCTCACCTTCAGGTTATTTCAGTTGTTTCACTGCCATGGTAGAAGAATACAGGTAGTCGCTGCCACACTGCTGCTGGAACAATGAGTTGTCAAACCTAATTTTGAAATTATAAATGAAAAATGATTCAAATTTGTGTAAACATTGTTGAAAAATGCATATCATAACAACCTCTGATTAGTGTCGTATAAGAAAACTCATAAAAATCTACGTAATTTTGAGAAAAAAAAAAAAAAAAACAAAAAACATTTAAAATTTTTGACATATCAATGTTCCTAAGCGTTGATGCATCTACCCGTATTCTTCTATCATAGAACCAGCTTTACTGCCTTCTTGTGCCATGTTCGCATTGTTAAATACATGATGCAAGTATACGGTGCCCGTTCAAGTGCAGCTGATTACCAAACGTTCTGCCAAATAAATTTTAATTCGTCAATTCATCATTGGTCAATGGGCAAGTCTACGCCTTAGTATAGCTCCCATATAACGGCACCTCAACATATTAGGTATTTTCATGATTTATTCTTTTGAAAATTTCCAAATTCGTTCCAAATGGAGGAGAGTATTCAAAGTTCATCCCAAACGAACTTGCTGCTTTTTTACTTGTTTCATTTAGAAAAAGCCCAGCCGATGACATTAAGGTGAGAATACATAAAACGCTTTTTTGACTGACTTAAGTCATCGGCTGGCTTCTTCGTAAAATAACATAGGAGTTTTAGGTTGACTTGGTTCGATTTTGGCCCTGTGCTCCTTTGTTATTTTCCGAAGAACCCATTCAAAAAAAAAAACGTTTTATGTACTCTCACCTTTATTCAGACAATAATCATATTTTGTATTTTCACCTTTAGCCTATGGAACACCTTAAATATGGCGGTACATAATAGAATTTGCTTTTTGGCATAATTTATTGGTTTATTGGTAACAGAAGAAATGAGTTTTAGGTTGG